TTGTGTGAATCTAAACACAGACAGGCTATCTGCTGCTGCCTGCACCTGCACAAAATGGTGCACACTTTCTCAGGAACTTCAGTTATGACCAAGTTTTTTTATCCTTGGAGATAATGGAATTTTGTGAGAATTAGAAATTTCTGACAGTGAAAGGTAAGAGTTAAATTGCCCTTGGTGACTTAAATGTCCACCCTTTCTAGAGATCGGTTTTCATAGTGCAAGAGGAAGGAGAAAGAAGGGGACTTTATAAAGTGGAGGAGAGGACAAGGAAGGAGAGATTGGAGACTGAGAGAAAGAAAGATGTAGAGACTAAAGCTTGTAGCCATTGGCATCTCCTTCTGGGTCCCCGTAGAAGAAACAAGGCTACAATAGAATGAATGCAAGGTTGGGGATTCTTCATAGAGTCTGGTAACTAAGGTAAGGAGCCTGGGTGAAGCAAGCTGTTCACGATAGTCTGCCAGCTTAAAGGCTGTTGGATGGAACCAGCCAGCAAGGCAGAAAGGCCTAGAGAACTGGTTCTGTGAAATAATGGCTATGAAAACCCTACAGGCAGTTCTACTCAGAGCCACAGGATCACCATGAGTCAGGGGCCAACTCAATGAGGCTAACAACTACCACAAAGGGTATTTAGAACATAGCAGGGATGAAAACTGAGTGGGACCTGCTTCCATCCCCTCCAAGTCAAGACCTGTGAGCTGCTTGTGGTATGAGACCCAGACTGGTTACTGCCCAGTAATAGGGGATGAACTGGAGGAGGCGCTTCCCTGGTGTGCCACTTCCCTGCCACACCAGCCACTCAGTGAGGTGAGGGTGGGGAGGAAGGAGGACGAGAACCTTATGGAAACAGAGGTGCATGATGCACTGGGGGTCCAATCCAACCAGAGTGTGAGCAGCAGACCCTGGGCCACCCCAGGGACGAGGGAACCAGCGATGTCCGGTTCTCAGCAATCAGCAATTATTCTTCCTCCCTGGGGAGAGTGGGGCATGGTGCAGAGAAAGTGGAGAGTGGAGAGGCGGCTCAGCTCCTCTAAGGAAAATGAGGAGAAGGGAGTAAGGGCCTCTTGTCACCAGCGATTTTGCTTCCACTCTTGCGTGCCCTCCTTCAACCTCTGTCTTCTGTTCCCTCTCATGACATTCTGGGCTGCCTGTAGGTATATGGTCACTCTCTAAAGGAAACTACAGGTAAGTTCAATTTAATTAGCCACCATAACTTCCTTATTGCCTGGGTCCCTTCCCTTCTCTTCCATCCCCTTCCTTCTATTCTCCTCCCCTCCACTCCCCTCCTCTCCTTTTCTCACTCAGTGCTTACCCAAAAGATACCTGCCTGCTCATTGAAACAAAGGTAACATGATATCATAAAAACCTTTCTCCCTAATGTTGCACCATTCTTTCAACAAAATTTATTGAGCACTTACTATATGTGAGGACCACCTGAAGACTGTCACCTGTCTTCACAGAACACAGTCTAGAGATCTCCTCAAATTCTTCTCCCAGTCAGATGTCAGTAAAGACAGTGGATGGGAGATTCAAACCCAGACTCACAGACATCACCAGCTGGGTGGGGGCTCAGGCTCCAGGATTTCACCTTGAGCAGCGCTGATGGTTCAGGGGTTAAGCGCCTGACTACTATCTGAAAGGTTGGCCGTTTGAACGCACCAGCCTCTCTGCAGAATAAAGATGTGGCAGTCTGATTCCATAAAGATTACAGCCCAGGACACCCTGTGGGATAGAATCGACTCCACGGACTTTGTTTGTCTGTCTGTCTGTCTCAGTTGAGTATTTAACACTCTCCACAGGCAGACCACTTACACTTGGCCTTGATGGTCACAAGTATGCTTAATTTTTTGGAGACTCATAAGACAAAACTTTTTAGTTGATGGACATTGTTATTGTGGGCCATCCAGTCAATTCTAACTCCTAGTGACACTCTATGACAGAGTAGAATTGCCCGAGAGTTTCCTAGGCTGTAATCTTTACAGAAGCAGACTGTCACAGCTTTCTCCTGTGGAACTACAGCTGGGTTTGAACCACTGGCCTTTTGGTTTGCAGCAGAGAGCTTTAACCATTGTACCATCAGGGTTCCCTAGCTGATGAATAGAACTCATCATGGACCTGGGTGCTTCTTATGTCAGCGTCCATTCTTTTCCCCTAGATAATTTGCCATAGCCTACAGGCAGCTATTTCATTCAAAGTCAAGTCCTATGCCATATGCCTCTAAATTACATACATAAAATACGTGTGTGTGTGTGTGTGTGTGCCCAGGAAAACCTGCAAAAATGACAACCTGTGTAAGGCAGAAATCTGTCAGAGAAGGAAAATTCAAATATTTTCCATACAAATGAGCACTAGAAAAGTAGCAACTGCACCTGTCAAAGGCAGAAAACTTGTGAGACCCAAAAAATAAGGCAGTCCCTTCAAGTTCTGGCTCTCATAGTTTTCACAGTACACACACACACACACGCACATATATATACACACACATATACATATATATAATATACACAGGCATGTATACTACATGATACACACACGTGTTTTTCATCAATTCACACATATATACTACATACATGTGTTTTTAATTAACACACATACATACATATATACTACATGTGCACACACGCACATACGTGTTGGGGTTTTTAATTTAAAAAAAGACCTTGTGTTCCCTCTCCACCCCCTCCCAGTGGAACACAGTTCCCAGTGGAGGGAATCTGCACTCCTACAGCCAGGATCAGAAGTGGCTTTCTATTCTCACAATAAGAGCTGGTACCTCTGCATTTTTAATACATAAAGAGAAAATGTGAAATGTAGGGAAAAAGTAATACTGTCCATGGCCTGAGGAAATGTGGGAACTTCATATTCTAACAGAATTCTTTAAGCAGGAAAAGTCCACAGCTACGTTCTCCGTGTTCCTCTCGTAGTTCTTCTCTACAGAAGACACACCTGAGTTCCTCTAGGCAGCAAAGTCACTGCCTGTGGGATGGGACCACAAGTCAGTCTGATATCAGCTCAACACTGACCACAACCTCCACCCCAGCCCCAGCCTCGTCTGAGGACATTATGACTGTATTTTCTGGTGTCTCCTTGATGCCCTTGCTATTGAATCCTCCTGGACGCACTGCCAACAATGCCTGTTGCTCTCTGTAGCATCTACCTTTGGACAACACATCATAAGGCAGCAGGCAGTTTTTCCCTCCTCTGCTACATCACTGAAAGTTTGAAGGGAGCAGAGAAGAGCAGGTGTATTAACCCCCTCCTCTGCAGGCACGTACATCATCATCACAATCAGCCCCATTTATAGAGCTGCCATTATGGGAAAGACACTCAGTGCTCAGTGTTTTACATACATTAATCTCTAATGATCACAACCCTTCAATAGAAGGATGGGCATTGTTCTCCACAGTCAGAATAAGAGGAAATGGAGGGCTGTAAATGTTAAAGAATTTGTCAAGGACACTCAATTTGTGTTCTGGGCAGTTATATTTTGCTTTCTGGCCTAATACCGATTGTCTTTTTATAAACTAATCTCATGAACTTGTTTCCTAAACCATGCAAGAGTTAGTGGTGGCTGCCTAAATTAACTCTTTTGTTGTTGCCCCTTTGGAAAGAGACTGTGAATCTATAGGATAGCACAACATGGCAGCGTCCTTCCCATGCACACACACTGTCCATAATTCCAGATGTAGACATATGCTTATGGGCTTAGCAAAAAATGGCATCCCTGGACTCTTTTCTCGCCATTACAAAGTGATCTGGGGACACAAAGAGTTGGAGAGGGCATATGAAAGCAGCTTCCATATTTATATTTGAATGATTCAGTTATGAGCCCTGCAACTGGTCCCACCAGAAGGAGAGTCAATGATAGCAAAGAATACCAGCACCTGAGACGTAACCACTGAGTCCTACTGAATGCAAGCCTGGAGCTGCGCTCACAGAATGCGAGAACTGCAAGAGCCCTGGGAGTCCGTTAGTATTTCCAGTCTGGTGGCCTTCACCTGCCATGAATTCCTTCATCAGTTTCGCAGCCAACTTGAGTCTTGGTTTCTTAAACTCCTAAACTTATTTTACAATGAATGCTTTTTAATTTTGTAATGTTTAGGCTTGTTCATTGTTTTTATCTGGACCATTATATGGTATCTATTGTTATGATCACAAGGTGCTCTGATGGTGTAGTGGTTAAGGCATTTGGCTGCTAACCAAAAGGTCAGTGGTTCAAACCAGTGGCAGCTCTTTGGAAGAAAGATGAGGCAGTCTGCTTCCATAAAGATTTACAGCCTTAGGAACCCAGTGGGGTTTGCTATGAGTCAGAATCGACTCTGTGGCAGTGGTTTTGGATTAGCATTATTATTATTGTTGTCAGCAGAAATGTTTATGAAGAAAGGCTGTCCCCTACTCATTAAATGTGTTCCTGCATCTTGTCCGGTAGCTACATTTTCCAGGACTTCCATTGCATGTACTTCTGAGGGAGAGGAACTTTGAAAAATAGTAGGAAGTTCAGGATGCCGAATGTGATATGCTTAAAGCACTCAGCTGCTAACCCAAAGGTTGGCAGCTCGAACCCACCAGCTGCTCTGTGGGAGAAAAATATGGCAGTCTGCTTCCGTGAAGATTTACAGCACTGGACACCCTATAATGCTTCCATATGGCAGTTCGACTCTATCCTATAGGCTCACTCTAGGTCAGAATCGACTCAATGGCAGTGGGGTTTTTTAGTTATTCATCAACTTACGTTTGTTCTATGATACAATCATGGTCAATTCATGTTAGTTCTTTGTAGATAGACTTTGTAAACATTTGATTAGGAAAAAAAAAATTCTTCCATGAACAGATATATGTTTGGTTATATATACATATTACCACCAAAAATAGAAGAAATTTTAATTTAAAAAAAAAAGTCTTCATATTTGAAGGGAAGCCCTAAGTTTGGGCCAAAGTAAAAATCTATTTTCTTCCTGTAGATGTTCATATCCATAAACAAGATTTTGTGCTTTGTCGCCCAGCTTCATTCAGACATGGACAGAGGAGACGGCTCCATCAAATACATCCTCTCCGGAGAAGGCGCCGGCATTGTGTTTACTATAGACGACACCACGGGGGACATCCATGCCATTCAGAGGCTCGACCGGGAGGAAAGGGCCCAGTACACTTTAAGAGCTCAAGCCCTAGACCGGCGAACAGGCAGGCCCATGGAGCCAGAGTCCGAGTTCATCATCAAAATCCAAGACATCAATGACAATGAGCCCAAGTTCCTGGACGGACCTTATGTTGCCGCTGTGCCAGAAATGTCGCCAGTGGGTAAGGCGGTGAGGAACGGATCCTCACACACCACATTTGCTGTACAGCAGGCCCTCCTACAGACATAGATGTAGATGTGGGTATAAGTATCTATGCAGACCAGAGCGTGTGTCCAACAGCTCCCGGAGCATAAAACTGAACCATGAATGACAGCCAAGTCCTTAGGCAGGAAGCTCCCTACACATTGGAAATGAGCCTACTATTGTTATTCAGTTCTAATTCTTGCAAAGCAAAACAAAACAAATGATAGATGGACAGATAGGCAAACAGGTAGATAGATAGTAGACAAATAATAGATAGCTAGACAGACAGACAAATGGCAAACAGTCATGTTTGATTCCTAAGAGAGAAGCATTTTGGTATTATCAAAAGGGCAGTGATGAGCCCAGAGGCTGTGTGTCCTCACTAGTTACTAAGAACTAATGAAAACACAAATAACTCATGCCCCCCAGGCAGGTACAGGGCAGACATGTGGCAGCCTGATGTAGAAGGGGGCCGCCTGGCAAAGCCTAACCAAACTCTTGCAGGTGCTTTCAGATTGGCCCTGTAGGATTTCACCCAGCCTTCAGCGATTCAACCTCAGTAGGTCTCCCCATCTCTCTTTCTCAGGTACCTCGGTTATCCAGGTGACAGCCACAGACGCTGATGACCCCACCTACGGCAACAGTGCCCGGGTGGTGTACAGCATCCTCCAAGGCCAGCCGTACTTCTCTGTGGACTCCAAAACAGGTATCTGACATGGCGGTCAGAGCTGTTTGTTCCCTAGTCATTTCTAACTGCTCCGTGTGACAGGCTTCAGGTCTCCTTTTCAAGGACTCTCCAGGGAGTGAATTACCAGAGAAGATTGTTACAAGCTTTAGGATTAAGAAAGTAAACCAGCACTCCCCTGGTGGAGAGGCCAAAAGACCCCCTACCCAACAGCATCTCCTCACTCACCTTCCTAATTCCCATGGCGCTCTTCATTCCCTGAGATAAACTCTAAGAAGACTTGAGTGGATCAACACGCTAACCTGGACATGCCACATAACTAATATCATTGGTTTAGGAACTAGAAAGATCCTTAGGGGAATCATCCAGTCTGTTATCATTATTTAATGGATAAGGAAAGAGAGATTGAGACCTAATGATGTTCATCTCATTGTAACCATGGCCCCTGACACATGGTCTGACGTGCTTCCCACTGAACACCCCGTACTGACAGAGAATAAGGCCAGGGCGGATGGTTGCAGGGCAGCAGGGCATGTGGCCCCAAGCAGGCCCTGAGTGGGGGCTTTTACGGGGAGGGCAGGTAGATGTGCCATGGGAGTGATGATAGTCCTGTGTATTCCACAAGTCCACAAGGTTGTTGGGAGGATCATGGAAGCATTTTAAAAGGAGGAAGGAGAGCAGGCAGAGAGCTGGGAGGGTCTTCCTGGGTCAGGAGCAATGTAACAGGAAGGGACAGACGAAGAGAAATCTTTCTGGTTTACCCAGGAGCTTGGCTGAAAGAACTTGTGTGTTTTCTCTGTAGCCCGTGTGTAGAACAAAGGGTCAACATGCTCAGCCACCAGTCCAAAAGTTGGTGACTAGAGTCTACGGGGAAGCACCTGTGAAGAAAGGCCTGGTCATCTATTTCCGAAAAACCACAACCATGGAAAACCCTACATGGCACAATTCTGCTCTGACTCAAGTGGAGTCGCCAAGAGTCACAGTGACTTGATGGCAACTGGTTTTTATGTTTCGTCCACGAAGGAGTCTCCTTAATACTTTCGAGTTGGGTGCACCATTATTTGTCTTTATTGTCTTGCAAGCGTGCCCTCCTTTCTCTTTTCAAAATGCTTTAGTGATCCGCCCAACAATCTTGCAAACTACAGGAAGCCTCACTGCTCCCATGTCACATACGGGAAACCTGATGAGATCTAAGAGTAATTCAGTAAGCACTTGAATGAAGAAACTTACAGCCACGGAGGTGAAGGCAGTCAGGAACGTGGAAAGTCATGCCTTTGTTTGAAAGGCGAAAAAATACATTTCTATTATCAGCAACATGATAGAGTTTGTTTTAGTTATTATTTTCCAGAAGTCCTAAGGGAAACCAGGCTTTCAGAAAATTATGTCGTAAAAGTACAAAGCAAAGGAGTGAAAATTAGTAGGGTGAAGGAAAAAGATGGTAGTTAGGGCCTTCTGTAAAGCAGGAACTTTCCCAGTTCTGCAAACGAGGGAAGAATAAGGGGTGCCCACAGGGAGGAACATGCAGGCAGGAGGAGGGTATTGTGTCTTTCATAGACTAAGAAGAATCTTACATTTTGTTGACTGCTCCCAGGAGGCATGGATAGTGTTGAGGTCAAAAATGCGTGAAGCTATAGTTATTGCTGTATGCCCCTGTGGCCAATACAAAAAAGCAAAGTTGCATATTTCCCTTTATCATGTTATTACTATAATGCAATACATGCATTACAGGAGCAACTGGAGATAGGTGGTGTTCCCAGTCCCTTTCCTTTCCATGCAAAAGGTCTAAGTAGTCAATCAGTCAGGCTTTTAATCCTCACTTGGAGTTTTAGACTTGAGGCAATCTTTCTAAGTTGAAGGGTTAAAGGGGAGAGAAAATATCCTTGGCAGGATCAAAACAACACATTTGAATGGATTTTGATTTAGACCCCTCTTCTTGAATGAACCGGTATCATCGCACGGGGGTGCTGCTCCTTACTGTTCGGGAAAGTGCATCCCGTAGGCGTGTTAAAAACAAACTAGGCGCTGGATTTCTTTGATGCTCACGGGGTTCTGTGGAGCACGGAGGTAAGCCGGACGTAACAAAACAGAGTGAAGACAGGACAAAGGAAATCCAATCAGGATTGCACCCCTGTTGATAGGTACGGAGGGTGCAAAAATAAAGTAGAACAGGAGTGAATTGCGTCCAAAAGGATCACTCATGCTATAAGGGCTCTGGGGACCGAGAAAGACAGAGCAGAAGGGGATTATCTGAAATCACACATGTGTAGACGCGTGAGGCTTTGTTTTCAGAACCCAAAGCCCCTTTTCTTTGGTGAGTCCCAGCAGCCTGAGCTCGCCCTGGACCGGCGTCCCCAGGTCTGTAGGAGAACCACTGCTGCCACCTCCTGGTCTCGGTCAGTACTGCTGCCGGAGAAAATGTGCCCGCTGAGCGCTTCCCGCGGGGACCCTGCTTAACTCACCGTTTCTTTGCAGCGGGGAGTCTGGCCTCAGGTTTCCTAAAACACAGGAGACTGGCGTCTCATCTCTAGACATTAACAGTGCACAAGGAGAAACCTAGAAGCCGAGCTTTTAAGAAGGGGATTGTGGGTTGGTGCTGTTTTCCAAACGGAAGTCGTTTCTGTCCGGCAGGTGTCATTAGGACGGCGCTCATGAACATGGACAGAGAGGCCAAGGAGTACTATGAAGTGATCATCCAGGCCAAGGACATGGGAGGGCAGCTGGGAGGACTGGCTGGGACCACGACAGTCAACATCACCCTCTCGGATGTCAACGACAACCCGCCGCGCTTTCCTCAGAGTGAGTACCAAGCCAGAGGGACACTCCTGTGACTGCAGGAGAGAGAAGGGCCCTCTGACTCCTCACTCAGTCCACCCTTCATGGAAACCTAACCGTTTCCCTTCTGAGCTCTGACTTTCCATGGTCTGCAAGCAGTGTCTGTAATACATCTTTTTTTTTTTTTTTTTTCATGCCACTTCCCTATGGACCTTATTTGCAGGCCCTGGGTGGTGTAGACACACTCTTCAACCCAAAGGTTGGAAGTTCAAGTTCACCCGGAAGTTCCTCACAAAGGCCTGGTGATCTACTTACAAACCACCAAAGCCATTGAGGCCCTGTGGAGCACAGTTCTACTGACACAGATGGGGTTGCCTTGGGTCTGAACCAACTTTCTGACAACTGTTAGGGAGTTGTTTTAGACATTTCTTTTTTTCCTAATCACCCAACTTCAATCCCACAGAATTAAATATTAAGGAATAAAGTTTTTCAGGGGAGGCTGAACTTTAGAGGGTCCCAAACCAATTTTTGGTTTGGCTAAGAACCAATTTTTGCCTCCTTGGGGGAAACGTCACCACTATTCATAACACATACACTTAACCTAAACCAAAGCTGTAGTTAACCCACCTGACGTCTTACCCAGTCCATTCACAGGGATGTGCTGAGCACCTGCTGTGTAAGTGCTCTGGGATGAGGGACGGGAAGATGCAAAGCCCAGCCCCTGCCTGTGAAGCTTAGAATCCACCTGGGAGCATACCTTCTAGACACAAGAAAAGTGGACCAATATTGCATGTGGCGTGCCCCCCGGATAATGCAGAGTGATGCTTTCACAGTGAACTAAGATGAATGAGGACTTCAGAGAAGGATGAGACTTCAGCAGGGGACTGAAGACAAAAAGGACTTAAATAGGCAAAAAGGAAAACATTCCAGGAGAGGGACCATTTATGCATTCCAAAAAGATGTGTTTGGGGCACCATGCTAGGCATGGAGCATTGAGCTGTGTACAGGACAAAGGGAATCCCTGCTGTCTTAGAGCTCATCCTAGTGGGAACCAGCATATCAGAAAAAAAGTCTATGTATATACATATACATATGTGTACATGCATACATATATATGTATATATATACATATGTGTGTGTCTGTGTGCACATATGCTAGACACACACACACACTCACATATGCTAGAATATCCAAAGCTTATGCATGGTACAAGGAAAGGAAGGAAAAGATTAGGCAGAAATTTATGTTCAAAGACTCCTAAAATCTAGACCTGGACCTGCTCTTTAGTGTTTCAAGCATGTTATATTTTTAATTATTTTCACTGAAATATTCTTGAGCAAGAGAGAGATATAAAGAAAGGTTAACTGGTAGCTGGGTACAGGATGGGTTGCCAGGGACAGAGACTTGAAGCAGGGCAGTCAGTTCAGAGGCTTGGAGAGTCGACAGATTTGAACTGACAACAACTGTGGAAAGGATGGAGAGTGAAGTGTCTCTCCATCTCTTGGGTGAGGGAACTGGGGAAGAGGGTGGAGTCAAAAATGACAATGGTGTTTGAAGTCTGAGGGACAGAAAAGATTGTACCACTGATAGCAATAGAAGATGCATAATGGAGCTAGCAGTGGGGAAGAAGGAAGGTCAATTCTGATTTGAATATGAAGTGACAACAGGGCAATCAGGCCGAGTGTCCTTAAGAAAGTGGGAGTATGGAGCTATGGCTGTGGAATGGGGCCCGAGAATGGAGACATCAATTTAGAAGCAGATGCCTAAAGGGAGGAGCTGAAGAAGTGACAGGAGATGACTCCCAGGTGCAAATGGACCTAGAGAAGCCAGGTTCACATACCTATGTACTAAAAACAGGAACAACCAAGCCAGACCATCAGCTCAATAACTACATTTAGAACCTGCCAGACCAAGTGAGCTCTGGTAGCATAGTGCCTAAGGCACTTGACTGCTAACCAGAAGGCTGGCGGTTCAAACCCACCAGCCACTCCTCGGAAGGAAGATGGGGCAATCTACTTCCGTAGTGATATTGCCTGGGAAACCCAAGGAGGGGTCTCTATGAGTCAGGTCCAACTCAACGGCACATAACAACAACAACAGACCCAGTGAACACAGTAGCATCACTAAGGGAGTGTGGGGGATGCGGACGGTATCAGGTGACACTGTCAGAGGGGATGCCACCAAAAGGACTGTCTATAAAATTTTTGTGCCGTGTGTCAGCAGAAATGTGTTATTTCTTTTATAAAATACCCCTGTAGTTAATTATAACAATGACAAAAAAATTTCCTAAGCCCAGCTTTCATGTATCAATATACCTACAAGACTAAAAGTCTGTGCTAGTTTACATTTGAACGTTAGAATAACGGACTCTGGTCAGAGTTGTCATTATTACTCCATTACAACGGCACTTCATCTGCACACACTGCAAGCCCTCACTGTTGTTTCTGTTGCTGCTGGTGTTTTTATAGCTGCTGATTTTGTCCAATTTTCTGGTGTTTTAGCTACAGGATTGTGGGAAGTAGAATTTATGAACCTATATCAATGAGCATGAAGTACTAATTACAGGAAGGAAGGAGACAGATCAGAACAGTCTTCAGCTCAGTTACTAATAATGTTTTAAGTAATAATATTGTAATTCAATGTAATTCAAAGATTTTACAAAACAATTTTGTTGTTAGTATTCATGTAATCGAAGAAATATTACCACTAAGCAATTTACAACTATAATTATCACACATTATTCTATAATTAACATTGATAGTGAACATCACTGAAGATTCTATATGGTCTGGTACAGGAAAAGGTCCATGGTAAGGGTGACATCAACCCTAGTGTCACCACTGAGTGGACGATGTATTTTATGCATGAAGATACAAGGAGAAGGCTCAAACGTTTACATACAAAGAGTGAAGTCCCCATGAGCTCATGAACCAAGAAAGCAGGATACTGGATAGCATTTCACAAATGGTACGAGTAAGTAGGTTACTAAGTTAACTGGCCCTGCAGGACAGAGCCTGGTGCATCATGGCACAGTGTGTCCAGTGCCATGATGGACTGGGTTTCTGTTGCTCTGCTGACCCAGTGGGTTCCATCTTAGTGCTATGTTATGTGCACTGGAGACCACATTTCTGACCACCCTTGAACTACCCTATGTGGCTTTTAAAATTTGACACTAGGCAAAATAACGATGGAGGCAAAAAGCTCAGCAGAACCAGGTCATCCCATGGCTCCTAAGCACAGGAACTTGGACGTATTGTAGGGAAGTCATGTCACACAAAGCATGGTGGCTGCATGATGGCGTCGCAAAGCATGGCAGCTGCATGATGGCATCCTATGACCCGATGACAACAGGAGTTTTAGTCTTGTCCCCCAAACCCACATTCTAACTCCACTCCACAACATACATTTGGAGGTATTGCACTTTCGAAATAGAGCAATAATGGGGAATCCAAGATGGAGTGGAAGTATGGACCATGCTGCACTGAAGACAAAATAGGAATGTGCAGAATTTAAATCTCTTTGTCTCCAAACAGTCTTTGCACATTATCTCTGCTTCCTCTAAAGCTGTCATTTGGGGAGAATTTTTTAAATTTGCTTTACCTCACCATTAAATATCTCCCATCTACTTGCTAAAACTAAATTTAGACTATCTGACTATCCTATAAACTACCTCAAACAAGCCCTTCTACCTCAGTCATCTTCTGACTCTTCATCTTCTTGCTAGGAATTTCACATTCCTTCCTTCTCACCACTGTTACCATAACTGCTCCTGGGATGTTGACAAAATGCTCTGGTAGCATAGTGGCTAAAGCACTTGACTGCTAACCAGAAGGCTGGCGGTTCAAACCCACCAGCCACTCCTCGGAAGGAGGTTGGGCAATCCTACTTCCGTAGTGATACTGCCTCGGAAACCCAAGGAGGGGTCGCTATGAGTCGGGGCCAACTCGACGGCACATAACAACAACAACAACTATTGTGCATTGAAATAGCTCAGTCACACTTAATTGAGCCAAATATAAGAGAATGTAAAGATCTTGATCAATGTCTTTCTCATATAATGTATCACATAGAGGAAACTTGTGTCGTTGTTGTTGTTATGTGCCGTCAAGTCGGACCCGACTCACAGCGACCCCTCCTTGGGTTTCCGAGGCAGTATCACTATGGAAGTAGATTGCCCAATCTTCCTTCCAAGGAGTGGCTGATGGGTTTGAACCACCAGCCTTCTGGTTAGCAGTCAAGTGCCTTAGGCACTATACCACCAGAGCTCTCTAGAGGAAACTTGTAGATTGTTGAAATGCATAACACCTAGCTTTCCTGGTGTGGAAAAGAAATGCAGGCAGATGCTTGTTTCTTTCTTTCTTTCTTCCAAAAGTTCTGCAATAACAAAGTGTAATCTATCAACTCCTTTTGAGGTGAATGGAACGAGACCATGATGTCCAAGTACCTGCCAGCTTAGCACAGATGTAGAGATTTCCTGGATTATATTTGCAAAGAACAGGTATTATTTTTTCTCTGTGCAAGGTAGGGTATTGTTAGCTGCTGGATGGATACTGCCCAGCTCTGTGAAACTCAAGCCATCAGACCCCAAACTTCCCTGTAGCTTGGAATGCATATTAGAATAAAAGAGGCCATGAACATACTGAAAATGTGAGTGGGTGATTTCTTGCTAGTCAGTCACATTATGATTGAAGGAGTAATGGTGCACGTCAAAAAGTTGGGCCCAAGAGAAGGTAAGTTAGCAAAGATATGACTTCATGAAGGTGAAATTGAAGTGCATTTAATTGTGAATTAGGTTCATCAAATGGAAAGAAGATCATTACCAGCTCTGCATCTTCCGCATGTGAGAACTTCCTGGTATTCTATTTTGGAATGAGACAGAGAAGTCTCTGGGTTGCCCATGAAAAGGAAACTGTGGGCAGCCAGTCTCAGGTACAGGGACACACTGATGGACCACACACAGAGTTGGTCAAGCCTCCTCTCTGAGGATGTCCCTCTCTATAAATCACTTGGCACCCTTAGCTTTGGGCAGGTGGACATAGAGGTGGGCACTCAGCCAGGCCATGAAGGAAAATGCAAGCATTTGACCTGTGAACAGAACACATGGACTCTGTGACCAAATGGTTTTTCAGTCTTTCTCAAAAAGAATTGGCATCTGGGGAGACATTTCAGTTCAGTAGGTAAATCAAAAAGACTAGAAAGCAAGGTGTTTCTTACCACCCTGAAAGTAGAGTCGGTGGCATGAGAGATGTTTTTGCTTTCATCCTACCCTGGTCTTTGGATGATGTTCAAGCTGTTTTGGCTTTTCCTTGTAGAACATGCAGTACAATGCTGTGACTTAGTACAGTTGGCTTAGCCTCTCTGGGTCTTGGGTCTTCATCTGAAAAACTGAACTTAAAGTGTTAATGTTTGAACCAGGAAAAAGATGTTCTGGGCAGAGCATGCCTGGCACAATGTGGATAATGACAAGGCGTGTTACACATGGACAGACTGCCAAGAACGCGTGTGCTTCCCTTTCTTCACAGAACACTATCAGATGAGTGTGTTGGAATCTGCCCCGATCAGCTCCACTGTGGGGAGAGTGTTCGCCAAGGACTTGGATGAAGGAATCAACGCAGAAATGAAGTACACTATTGTGGACGGAGATGGTGCAGGTGCTTTCGACATTAGTACGGATCCCAATTTCCAAGTCGGCATCATAACTGTGAAGAAGGTAGTCCAACTCCTTTTTCCAAATCATTTTAATGGATGCTTTGAATGTATATGAAATGCCAGAATAGGCTGTTGGACTGTTTACATGTATTGATTCACATGCTATGATAAAAAACTCTTCTGTTTTTTATTTGTTTTTTTTTTTTTAATCTCTTATTCTTTTGCTTGCATGGGAACACCAGCTCTTCCATCTTTCACAGAAAGGGCATCAGGTCATGATAAGAATATAATATAAATACGTCATTTCTTCTAGCTCACTATTTAGACACTTAAAAAACTGTTGTGACTTACTTCTCTAGTAATGTTAATGACGATCAATACTTGCGGTTGATTGACTCCCATTTTTTGCTGTAGTGTACCATAAATAAAAAGAAAGCAAGCTGTAACATTCTTTATGAATCAGTAAGTAGCATTCACGGTGGTTTTAACTGCTACTTCGAGATCCATAAAGCTAATTAGACTTGAGAAAGCATTATCCAACATAGCTGCTGAATGACTGTTATCACTTGAAACTCCTGTGATTCACAAGGTGCCAGGTTTTCTGAATATAAGCTATCATAAAGCACATATGGATGTACTCCAGCTGGGAGATAAAATTTAAAAAAAGAAATTAAGCTTTATCCTAGTAAATATATATATGATGAATTATATTAATGCAAAGATTCATTAATTTAACATTCTCTTCTATTTTGAATACATCTAATATATCTTATTTATTCGAAAATTATTTATCAAGTGTCCACTATGTGCCAGCTATTGTTCTAGGCATTAAATGGATAGAGTAAATAAAACAGCCAAAAAAATCTCTCCCTCATGGAGCTAATATTCCAATAAGGGGGAAAAGATGATAAAAACAACAAATAAGCCAATAAAGTGGGGTATTAGAACATGCAAGGACTCCAGGGGTAACATAGAAGAAAGTAAGTGAGATCCAGATAACCAAGATGACTTCAAATTTAAATTGGGTGGTTGAGATGGCCTCATAGAGACGTGGCATTTGTGCAAAGACTTAAAGGAAGTGGGAAGGTCACTGCATGGAGGTGGTAGCTTTGTAGTGCACAACCCCCAGAAGTGTCCTATAAATGACTTTTGATGAGAACTGTACTTGGCAGCCTGGAGATGTGGGAATGGGCCATGGAGATACTGTGGAAAATGTTCTGAGCAAAGGCTCTGAGGCAGGCCCTAGCCTGGTGTGCTTCAAGAACAGCAAGGAACCTTAGAAGATTGAGTGGAGCAGAAACTAGGAGATGAGATCAGAAAAGTAATGAGATCATATAGAACTATATAGGCTGATGTAAGGATTTGGCTTTTACTCTGAATAGTGTAGGAAATCACTGAAGTTTTTTTTTTTTTTTTTTTTTTTTTTTAAAAACAGATCTGTAACATGACAGGACTTTCACTTTATAGTAATTATTCCATAGCCTCTTTTGAAGGAGCCCTGGTGGCATAGTGAATAAGGCATTTGGCTGCTAACCAGATCAGCAGTTCAAACCCACCAGTTGGTCTACAAAAGGAAGATAGGGCAATCTAATTATGCAAAGATTTATAGCCTTGGAAATCCAATGGGGGTCACTATGAGCCAGACGTGAGTTTGGCTTTGTTTTAGGCTATGTTGAGAAAAGGCCATATGGGGTCAAAAATGGAACAGAGAGACCATCAGGAAGGCCATTGCAACAGTCCTGGGAAGAGATGATTCCCTGGGTGGTGGGAATGGAGGTAGTGAGAAGTCTGTATCTGTCTTGCAAGTAGAGCCAATAGGCTTTCCTGATACAGTGGATACAGATATGAAAGAAAGATGGGCAACAACAAAGCAACAAGAAGACTGGAGTCACTACTAACTGAGTTGGGGAAGTCTACAAGTCAAGCAGGTGGTGAAGTGGCAGGTATTAGGATTCATCTCTGAACATGTTACATTTCCAATATTTATTGGCCACCAAAGAGAAGATGTGTACTGGCAGGTCCAGCGTCTGTGTTCTGGGCTGGAAATGCACATTTGGGCATAATAAGAATATAGATGGTACTTAAAGCAGATGAAGTGGAATGAGATTCCAAGACTGTGACGGTACGTAGAGAAGAGGCCAGGGAAACGAGCCCTGAGTCATCTTGACATTAGGAGGTCAGGGAGAAGAGCAAGGACAAGCAAGGAGACTGAGAAGCACGAGGAGGGAGGTGGAGAAAACGCCAGAGAAGGTGGTGTCCTGGAAGCCATGAAGAAAGTGTTTCCAAGAGAAGGGAGTCTCACCCATGATGAATGCAGCTGAAGGTCAAGGAAGAACATTGAAAACTGACCAGATGCTTTAGGAGCATGGAGGTCATTGATGACCTTGACCAAAGCAACACGGTCATAAGTTAGAACATGACACAAGCTGGTGTGTGTTTATAATAACATAATGCGGTTAGATAGAGCTGCATTAACACTGCTTTCAGATGGAAAAAGAGTCCGCCTTTATCCTGAATTTATTTACAATGGAATCAAATGCAATAGGGTGAAAGAAGAGATGCATTCAGTGTTCACCAACCAGAAATCTTTACAGCCAGCACCCAATGACCAGAAACAGTGCAATATGCTAAGATTAACTTCTGAATCATCAAAGAAATCTATATGTATATTGCAGTGTCTTATTTCCTTCTCATTCTTTAAGAATTAATAACACATGGAAGAATTATGAAAGGTGATTAAAAATAATAATACCAGATTGGTATATATGCAGAATTAAGAACACTTGTCTACTATGTGGCATGGCTCACGTTAACACAATAATCCTTTGCTTACCACGACACATAACAACAACACCATAACTGGTAACGCTAAATAAGGTAAACATCTAAACTGTGGATAATAACTGTTTCTTCAATACAAATTCCTATTAAAAAATCAAGCAATCAGAAAACAAGCCTTTTGGATTCTCAATATATTTAGCTTTATTTTCTATCTTAAGATAACATATATTAAATAATTCTAAATAATTGATTAAAAAAAAAAAAAAAAAAAAAAACTCACTGCCATTGAGTCTACTCCAACTCATAGCCTCCTCTTCCTGGTTTTCCAAGGCGGTATCACTATGGAAGTAGACTGTCCAACCTTCCTTCTGAAGAGTGGCTGGTGGGTTTGAACCACCTGGTTAGTAGTCAAATGCCTTAGGCACTATGCCACCAGAGCTCCTCCCTTACCTGAAGAGAGTGTCAAAACTGCTAAGACTGAAAACTCTGTCATTACTAAAAATATCCACATTCGATCAAAAGATATATCAGTTTTGCCAAGGTCATTTTGAATTCTCTTCTGAACTTAGGAGGTGCCAGAAAATGACATTAAGAAAGAGGTCAGTAAGTTCAGTAGATGGGCAAGTCACATCTAATAAATATTTTAGAGGCTATTGACTGCTCGATCTATACCTATGGAGTAACATTCACCCAGATGCCTGATCCACACCCATCTTCCTGGTTGGTCATTCATAATGTCAAATAAAATTGAAACAAAAGTTCTGCTTTTGATTTATCTGCCTAAGTCCTATTATTTGCCTAAAAAGTACATACTTTTTCAAAAAGAGAAACTAAGTTGAATTGATAGAATTAGGTCTTCATAAACCACACTTATTACTCCTCAGTACCCTGGGTCTTCTGTGGCTTTTAAGCAATCAATCAATTGATTTCCAGTCTCTTAAAGTAAACGCTTGACATATATAATTTTCAGAATGTTCTTTATTTCATGATGAAAAGGACATTATGCCATCTCCAGTCTTCAGCATGTCTTCCATCTTGCAATGTATAATAAGCAATTGTTGAGAGTCCATTTTTCTCTTAGAGCAGAAACAAAGCACAAAACTTCTGTATTTCATCAAATCTAAAATGTCATGAATTGTAAAACTCATCATTTTCTCATGTTATGTACCATTTAAAAAAAAATAATAACTAGCCAATTTAAATGATGCAATGCTTTCTTATTTCTGAGAGTGTTCTTATAGACACAGTTAGCACATTTGCTTCACTAAAAGTGCATTTATTCCCTGCTGTTGTTTCCATGCCATTCTGCATACACAACTTTTGTTTCAATGTCAAATCATAGTACAATATTTTTAAGACATTTTAGAGTTCAACACATGCAGAAGTCAAATGAAGTTCAACAACATGCACAGCTTTGATCAAGCATGGCCTGACAGTGAAAATGACATCCCATCTCAGTTGGGCCTAGAGCAATTGGAAGGTGTCTTCAATGGAGAAGCAACCCTATTTCCAAGATGTCAAAGTATGGGGGGGGGGGGGGAATGTGATTCTTAGAATCATTCAAGTATGATAACATAAAATCTGTATGTATAATCATTCAACTGTTACATGGTAGTATTCACATTGAAAGGCTGTTCCTGCTATTCAATGTGAAGATCCTTTTTTTTACTACCTTTTGGGTTTTAGGCCCTTGCTGGGTGACCAGAGCATAAAACTCTGACTTAGTCATCCCTTTGCTCTTGAGTTTGGTGAAGGGCACCAACACAGAAAGAAATACTTGTAATTCAAGAAAATAAAAACTATAATGGGAGTATGGCAAAGCACTATGGAAACTGAGGAGGAAATAAGTCAGCTTCAGGGAGTTGTAGGTACTCTTGTGGTCTAGTGGTTAAGGCACTTGACTGCTAAGCAAAAGGTCTGTGGTTCAAACCCACCATCCACTCCATGGAAAAAAGATGAGGCAATCTGCTTCCATAAAGAATTATAGCCTTAGAAACCCAGTGGGGTCACTAAGAGTTGGAATTGACTCAATGGCAATGAGTTTGGTTTTAAGGGACATAATGGCTTTTCCTTTTGTGTGCTCCAACTCTAGAATATTTCTAGAATTTGGACCTTGGGTTCTCAGGTATTACTATGTTTTTTATTTACTAATATAGATATGGAAATAAACAATTCTTTGACATTTAAAAAATTAAATACATAAGCACAAAAACTTCCAAGAGGGAAAAGCCAAACTCATATATCAGGGGTAGATAATTGAAAACTTAGGGCCCTCGTTTTCAATTTTAATGGTGGCAGTGAAAAAGACAATAATTTTAAACAAAACAAAAATCTTAATTTGTTTAAAAAGAAATTTCTGCAACAATTGAAAACTCACGCTAGTATTTTAACAGATGGTGCTGTAATAACTGCTATGCACAAAAAATGAAATGCAATTTATACCTCACAAAAATAAACCAAAATAGATGATACACCTAAATGTAAAAACTAAAACTATAAAACTGTAAAATTTCTAGAAGGAAGCATAGGAAAAAATCTTTGTGACCCTTATTAGGCAAAAATTCCTCAGCTATGACATCAACATCCTAATCTACAAAGAAAAGTGATAAAGTTTCATCAAAATTAAGAATTTGTACTCTTCAAAAGACACTGTTAAGAGAATGAATAGACAAATCACTGACTGAAACAAAATAATTGCAATTCACATTTCTGGTAAAGGACTTGAATCTAGAATATAAAGAAACTCTTCAAGAGTTTAGATGAGAAGATGCTGAAGATCACTGTTGTTGTTGTTGTTGTTGTGTGCCACAGAGTCAGACCCGACTCATGGTGACCCCTCCTTGGGTTTCCAAGGCAGTATCACTACGGAAGTAGATTGCCCAGTCTTCCATCCGAGGAGTGCCTGGTGGGTTTGAACCGCCAGCCTTCTGGTTAGCAGTCAAGTGCCTTAGGCACTACGACACCAGAGCCATTAGGGATTAGGGAAATACAAATTAACTGCAATGAGGTACTAATTTAGATCCATTAAGAAGGCCAAAAAAATTTAAAATGACAAAAGCAAGTGCTGACAAAAATGTGGGGCAACTAGAACTCTCATACATTGCTGATGGGGATGAAAAATGGTTCAGCCACTTTGGGAAACACTTTAGAAGTCTCTTACCAAGTTAAACAAATATTTGCCCTACAATCCTGAAATCTTACTCAAGTGATTTTACTTAGTTTAAACATAACTGTTCAATTTGTGTTCTCTATTCTTAAAGAAAGAATTTTAAGAGAATAGAATATAATTTTCCAAGAAAGGTTGTTGTTGGTGATGGTGGTATTGCTGTGGTTAGATGTTGTCAAGTTGATTCGGAGTCATAACCACCCCCTATGACGGAACAGAACTGTCCCATAGGGTTTCTAAACTGTAATCTTTAAGGGAACGGATCTCCACGTCTTTCTCCTACAGAGGCTGGGTGGATTTGCAGCCAAGTGCTTAACAATTGCACCACCAGGGCTCCTTCCAGTACTTAAGGAAAACAATTGAAGAGAATGCAATGTGCCTCTTTTTCCAGGAAACTGAAAGAACTAGATGGCCCCTGGCTACCATTACTGAACAAGTGGATCAAAGATTCTATAATCCTAATGAAAAGGAGGAAAATGAAGAACAGACTTTGAAATTCTTGTAGAGTCCAGACTTTTCAGAACCATGGGGGTTGGATGAACCCCTGAAACTATCGCCGTACAATAATTTTTAAGCCTTAAACCCAAAATATCCCCAGGCATCTTCATAAAACCAAAAAATAGTTTAGTATAACTAGTTAAGAATGGCAGTGTTGAGCAATATGCCCTTTAAAGAGCTATATAGGATCAAACTGACAGTAGCAACTTGAAAGATTAGATGGGAATCTTAGAGGCAGTGAGTTTATGTTAATCAGGGAGCAATAACTCAGCAAAGGAGGGTGAGAACTGTTACACAATGCAAAGAATGTCTTCAGTGTCATTGAGCTGAACAAGGAGAAACTGCTGAATTCGTGGATGTATATTTGCAATAACAACAGAATACAATTTTACCAAAGGAGAGGATATAATGTAACTTTTCATGGAAGATAGACAACTAGATTTAGAGAGGAAATGTAAGTAAAGTAAGTTGGTAATATCATTTCTTCAAAAATATAATTCAAGTAACAGATCTGTTTACAAAAAATCTCGTCTTTTGCTTCGGAAGTAGGGAGGCAGGCAGGCTTGTGGAGGTGGGTGCTGGTGTTGAATGGAGCAAAGAGCTAGGACGTTAGTCTGTCTGCACGTTGTGCAAGGAGCATTCCCAAAGGTGGACCTCACCTTCAGGCTGTGTGCGATGTAGGTCTTGTTTGAGCTCACAGTGCACACAAAAAAGCTCTCCAATTCTTCCATTCTTGCAGAAAGATAGGGTGTCTACAGTAGACAAGGCGAGTTTGTTAGAGTTACAAGTGAACATCTTTTAGTCTGATGAACCTAGATTTGATCTGTGACTCCACTACTTACTAGCTAGTGTGATCTTAAATAACTTCTCTTTCTAAGCTGCTTTTCCTCAACTCTTATAAAGATAACTGGAATGATGGATGTAAGCTAGCATTATGCCTGGCATTAAATAAATGCCAATTAAATGCCATTAAATAAATGCCAAATACAAGTAGTAACCAAATAACAACAAAAAAATTGTTAAAATTTTCAAATAATAAATTTAGTTAAAGTAATTCCTACTTCTGTTTCCTTCTAAAAAGCACAGTGGTTACTTCAATGGACACACACCTATTTCTAAATGAAACATGCTGATATCCATCATGTTTCATGAAAAAAAAAAAAAAGACCAAGTGAATGTTTAGCTGGAAACATTGTCATAAAGGTGTTGCCATGTGACTTTTAAGCTTTAGTGTAATTGCTTTGCTATCTGCTGTAATTATTTCATGACTTCTTTTATTTTTTTCATTATTGAGAATGGTTTGAAGTATTTGTTGCATAAAACATTTCAACATTTTTATCAACTTTTAAGAAAATTGATTATTCTTAAGAAATAGTATTTACACTCACTTTCATCCCTAAAGTGCTATATTTATCTTGAAATAAAACATTCTTGAAGGTAAAGATAGGTCAAAAAAGAAAACAACCAAAACAAATGTATTTTAGGATGGACTTTTAGACAAAGTTAAAGTCGAAGATCTCTGGATACAGCATTAAACAACCTAGACCAGTCTTCCAACCGAGACACTATGTAGCCATGTAGCTCAGCCAAGTCTTCCCAGCTCTTAGAGTCTCAGTTTCTTCAACTGTGAAATGAGGTACTGAATTAGGTTTTGAAAAAGGATTATCACTGATAAGCCTAAATACTCAGAAATATTGACCTAACACAGTGTCATGAGAACTCTAATGACGTGCTATGATAGTTCTTTGGAAAGCTGCACCATTCCCTTTGTCCTTGAGAAGAAATCGTTTTTAAAGGAAGGAAACAGGCATTCATGACAATTCATTTCTAAATAACCTGGCAAGGCCAGTCTTTTAAACAGAAAGAACTCAAATGAAGAGAAGAGACTCTAAAGATGGGATAGGAAAGTAGCAAAGGGAAGAAGTGGTTACTTTTTCCCCTTATATACATACAAGGAAGGTTGCGTGGATATTCTGGAATGGAGCTAGAAGTCACCTTTAATTGTCACAACATCTTTTCCAATGCTCAGGCTTCTCTCAAGATAAGCTGGACAACTGCCCCAGTTTGCTTGGAACTGAAGATGTTTCCGTGAAATAAGACTGCCAGTTTGAAAAGTGGGACAGTCTCAGGCAAACGAGGATCCGGATGGAGGGATTTCATGGGAAGGAGCTCTGGTGGCATAGCACCTAAAGCATTTGACTGCTGACTGGAAGGTTCATGGTTCAAACCTACCAGCCACTCTGCAGAAGAAAGACTGAGCAATCTACTTCCATAAAGATCTACCACCTTGGAAATACATTGGGGGTCACTATGAGTCAGAATCGACTCGGTGGCAGTGAGTGTGGTTTTTTTTTTTTTGGTTCATCTATCTATCTATCTATCTAGATACAGATATAGATATATAAAAAGGTCATGCTGATCAAAGAATAGACAAGTTAAAGCCAAGTTTGCCAGGGTGCAATGGCTTTTTGAATCATCAAACTAGATTTCTTAACTCTCTCTAAAGCGTCTAGCATCTCCTTATCTTCCTTATCAAGGTGTTGAAACTGACATTAATACCAAGAGCTATGGGACAAGAGAAAAATTGCCCCTGTGGTTCCTTTACCTCTTTTCCAGCATTCTAATGTATTCGGGAATCTTCCAGTTGGCCAGCACGTTGCCGTCCTTTAGAAGTGTGCCATATATGACAGTGGTTAATCAGTTTTCCTATCATTATTTTCAGCCCCTGAGTTTCGAAAGCAAGAAAAGCTACACCTTAAAAGTGGAGGGAGCCAACCCTCACCTGGAGATGCGTTTCCTGAACCTGGGCCCGTTTCAGGACACGACGACAGTGCACATCAGTGTGGAAGACGTGGATGAGCCTCCGGTGTTTGAACCTGCCTTTTACTTTGTGGAGGTTCCTGAGGATGTGGCCATTGGAACCACCATACAGATCATTTCTGCCAAGGATCCAGATGTGACCAACAACTCAATCAGGTTTTTACACAGAACTCACCTTTCCTTGCATCTTGGAATCTTCCCTTCCCTTGTGCATACAGGCAAACATCGATGGCTTTTGTGCCTTCCTTTCCTATCTCTTCTTTGGATAGGCTTCTCTTTCTTTGAGTTTTTTCTGTTTAAACATGGTTTTGCCATGTTATGTAGAAGTGATCTGTCATTATTCCTGCAACTCACTCTCAATGGTTTCAGCAAACACACACACACACACACACACACACGCTTTAGTTCTCAGTCTCAGCGCTACTGGTACATTGGCCTAGAAAATTCTTTGCTATGGGGGCTGTCCTGTGTATTGTGGGATGTTTTACAGCATCTATGACTTTTTCCCACTAAATACCACTAACACCCCCTGAGTTGTGACCAGATAAAATGTCTCCATATATTACCACCATGTCCCCAAGGGTTGCCAAATTCACCCCTGGTTGGGAAGCACCACATTACCTAATTAATGTGAAAATATTAAGCATTGTTGAATCTTAGTGGTGAATATAAAGCTGATGATCATTGTGCCCTCTTTCAACTTTTATGAACCTTTGTCATTTTTTACTTAAAAAAAAAAAAAGTGGGACAAAACAACATGACCACACCAGAGGAAGAATAGACATAGGAACTATTCCTGGCGTCAGTGGCTCTGATGCCGTGCAGACTGGCCAGAGAGGACTTTGTGCTTTGATTCCACATGTCCATCTCTCCAAGGAGTGTTTTGAACTTGAAGATTCCGACCAACATGTTTCTCCCTCAAGAGGGGGAGGGGAACTGCTCTTACAACCATGGCCATTTCCCATCAATTCTGGAACCGAAGTGCGAACAGCTGGTGGACAGGTTGACACCTCAACCTTCCACAGTCACTGCCAAGCTTCTGAAGCTTGACACAAAAGAACAGGATTCCAAGCCGTTTGAGGCCATCTGTCACATTAATTGATGAAAGCCACACAGTAAAAGGAAGCTGGGGCTTTAGTGTAGATAACACACTTTACACATACCCCAATCTATCAAATGCTCTTTTCTGTCAACGGGCTACTTCCCTCACTGGTGCTATTTTGCATTTAATGAAAATGTGCTTTTGCAGTTTAACAAGGATGGTACTCTCCAGAGAATATCTATACTACAGGGAAATCAGCCCTCTTCTAACGGCTAGGAAACATTTTACTATTTCTAGGCGTTAAAACAGCTAAAATGATTTTGTGTGAATGTTGATATTTAATTTTTAGAAATCAACTAATCTTTCAATTATGAGTTAGAACAGCTTCCCAGCAGTGATATTTCAACTTTTAAGTTTTTTACATATAAAATGGGACAGGAAGAAACCTCATTATCTCAAAAACAACCACAATAAAAATGAAGCAGATTCCAGTGCACATTTATATTCTCAGGAACCAAGAAATATGTATCTTTTGATCAATTAATTTATTCATATCAGATGATAAATGAAAGGATAAACTTTAGAGACTAAACCTTTATGGGAGAAAACCGTTTGCAGTAAAACAAGTACATGCTTGACAAATATCAGCACGCATTTCTAACGTACTCAGTAGCCATGTGGATGCTGCTTCATCTGTCTATATTCTGGCCTGGACTCCTACGTGGTAAGCACTAGACAAGTATAGTTCTCTTAGGAGTCACACTACTGAATGACAGACAAACAGAAGGGACTGAACAGAGTCAGCAAGTCCACATACACAATATTGTGCAGTTTTCAGGACTAATATTATTATGTTTTAGGACATATCTGGGAATGACAGGAACACCAGCAAGCCTAGGTCTATTGCTGGCATGGAGCAAAATGAGGCATTCAGACCGAGGGGATCCTGTCTGGCTGACAGAAAACACTGCTTCAGAGGAGGGACCAGGTGCCACCCGTAGCTGGCCAGGCCAGCATTTAGCATCAGGGAGGTCCATAATGGGATCCCAGCAGATCCTAGTCAGGAGGAATCAAAGAGTGAACAGGCAGGGGGCAGACAGCAGGGTCCACTGGACTGACTCTGGGGCGAGGTTCTAGATCCTGAGAGAACAAGAACAAGATCTAGATCCTGGGACGGCAGCCTGAGGCCGCAGGGAAGAAGACAAGGGCTCCGGCACAGGCAGCAAATGCAACTTCAGTTTTCAGAAGTGGGGACAATCCCCTCGGCATTTCTGTAGCAAAGGGACACACACAGAGCTGGATACCGAATCCCTGCCTCTTTATACTGGTCACACGGCACCAGGAACCGTCTCCGGACCACAGACAGAATGTGTTATACATAAAAGGCCTTGTCATATTTTTAAAAGACTAGATTTAAAAAAAAAAAAAGTGGAAGGAAGATGGGGCAATCTACTTCCATAAAGGTTTACCACCTCGGAAACCCAAAGGGGGTCGTTATGAGTGGACTCAACTCAATGGCAGTGAGTTTGGGTTTCTTTTTTGGTTTATATAAAAAAAAAAAAAAAAAAAAAAACTGCAATCGAGTCACTTCTGACTCATAGTAACCATTGTGTTCCCAGGGCTGTAAATCTTTACAGGAGTAGATTGCCTTATCGTTCTTCCACAATACACCTGGTGGGTTTGAACCACCAACCTTGTGGTTACCTGCCAGATGCCTTATTCACTATGTCACCAGAGTTTTATAATGTTTCTAGAAAGATTATAGTGTGTTCAGCATATGAATTAGTCCTCATTTACTGGTACGGTCCAAAGCTACGTCTCTAGATTTAGTTATGTATGAATGAAAAACACAGATGTCCTGAATTTTTAATAAACACCCAAGGAATTTCTGGCACGCAGGAGCTTGAACCATTTGGCCACTGAAGCAGGTTTCTCCTGGGGTGGAAACAGCCTGCCCTCGCATGCCTTCCTAGATGGAGTGCGTGTGGCGCCATGACACCCCACCTCTCAATGGCTCCCAGAGTCAAGGAACGTCTCCAACCAAGCAAACTAGCAGGGCGCTCAACAAACGGCAGCTGCTGTCTGCCCAAGGCCGCCTTGTGTGCGGACGCCCTGCCCGTTCTGCACAGAGTAGGTGAGCCTATGACACGTAGGCAAAGGGAAACACCTTACATCACTCATGGTGTGGCCCAGTTTTCATCAGGAGCTGCGCCTTGCCTTCCTTCTGCCTCCTGACACGTGGCCCAGTGCCCCATTCAGAGCCGTGGAAGCGTTTTTGCCTTGAGTCAAGGCCCGGGTTGCACTTGCCCAGAGGCCCCCCAGAGCCAGGCCCACCGTGCTCCGCTCCCGGTGTCACCCAGCAGCACTGTCTTAGTTCCGTCAGTTTGTTAATTCTCTCCTCCACTTCCCATACCATCTGGGCCACGCACGGTGACCTTAGAGGGCTGAGTGGGGAAAGCTGGTTCTTCCTAGGCTGCCCCACCCCTCGGCTGGGCCTACAGTTTGGAGAGCTCCCATCTGGTTGGAGGCCGCTTCAGGGTTAAGGCCCCGTGGACCAAATCTCGCCCCTCTGCTCATGTGTGGGGAGCCTGCTGAAATAAGGGGTATCAGATACAACTGTGTTCTTTTTCCCCTCCCAAGAGAAAATTCCACTCTTTTTTTTTTTTTTTTAATTGTGGTGCAAGACAGGTAACAAAACTCTGTGACCATTTGCATCTGTGCAATTTAGGGCATGAACTAGGTTCCCCGTGATGGGCAACCATCACCACAATCCATTTCCCAATCGTGTCATCACCTTTAACAAAAAGTCTGTACTGCTTGGCAATAACCCTTATCTCCTCCCCCACCCCACCCCCAAGTAACCACTGCTGAACTTTGGTCTCTATGCATTTGCCCAGAGAACACTCAATTCGAAATAATCTATAAACTTAAAACAAAATCACTAATTACACCAAGAAAAAATTAATAATACTCCAGTTAATTGATTTTAAGTGAACTTTGTAGGCATGTGTATGTTCTTTGTTAATGAGCCAACTACTTAATATTGTCACATAAACTGTGTTAAAGAGGATGTAAAGGTGGTTCTTTTTTTTCCTTAAAGATTCCCACATAACTCATGTGGCAGTAAGGCCGCGAGGCCAGGATGTTAGGAACTGGAACTTCAGCAGACCATCTCTGCTGGGTCCCCAGGTGTGCAACGCTGGACCCGGACCTGACCTTTCCATGCCTCAGTTTTCTTGCCTGTAAAGTGGGAATAATAAGAGTGCCTACCCCATAGGGTTGTTAGGAAGACTAAACGAGTGAGAATACCGTAAAATGTGTAAGGCATTTCCTGGCATATACAGGAATCAAAACCAAACCCTCTGCCATTCAGTCAATTCTGTCTGCCCCACAGTGTTGCCAGGGCTATAAATCTTTACAGAAGCTGACTGCCTCATCTTTCACCCAGGGAGTTAGCATATACAGTAAGTGCTCACTAAATACGGTCACAAGCAGAGAGGAGCATTAATTGACTTCCTTAAATTTCCTAGCTCTTAGGAAGTCACACTTGAAATGATTCAAATTCTCTCACTTAATGATCACCTTTCCCTTTAGTTAGTAACTCTCTGAACAGCCAACCTGAATCTCTGCAGAGGCAGATGGTAGATAGATGCAATATTGTGTGTATGTATTTATAGATATATATTTGAAAGGACCACTGGAGGGGCAGTGTTTGAGCACCTGGCTGCTAACCAAAAGATTGGCAGGTCAAACCCACCAGCCACTCTATAAGAGAGAGCTGTGGCAGGCTGCTTTTGTAAAGATCATGGCCTAGGAAACCTTATGTGGCAGTTTACTATGTCGTGTAGGGTTGCTATGGGTCCAAATGGACTGGACAGCAATGAGTATATGCATTTGAAATCAAAGCTTTTCATCAGTATTTACCCTTAATGCATGGGATAGTCTGACATGCATATTTTCAATTCTACTTCATTTTTTATTCAACACTAGTTATGACCCTCTAACTTGCAGTTTCAAAAACAATATACTAGACTGAAGAAACTGCTTGCTACAACCAAAAGGAGATGCTGAGTTTAACCCTTTCATGACCAAATTATTTTCTGCCTTGAATTTTTTGCTAATACCATGTGTTTTCAGTAATAGAGGCATGCTGAAATCAAGGGAAAAAAATTTTTTAGGTAATATGGATTTTGATGCAGTAAGTGAGACACATACAGGCCACATGGATTCTGGTGATAGGAGTGTACGAGTTAGGCCCATTTCTTCAGAGTCACACAGCTATAAGTTTTCTGCCAGCCAGTAACATACTACAGCTGGGACAGACACTTTACAGGAAACCTGAGATCCTGAAAATGGTGGGTGATGTATGTCCCATGGGTCACAAAAGAGTTAAACAACTTTAAGCTATAGATTGCAAATGCTGCCTGCTTTAAAATAGAATTTTGGACCTAGTATATCTCCTAGTCCCTAAATGATCTGTAAGAATCTAACAGTTATAACAGTTTGGAATTAGATGTGGCTTCTAATCTTACCTCTTCAAATTATTAGCTTCAAATTATTAGGTAACTGTATGAAAGTTACCTAACTTCTCTAAGCCTCAGTTTCCTTATCTATCATTAGTTGGGATAGCACTTCCCTCACAGAGATATCATAAGAATTTAAGAAGTTACTTATCAAGGACATAATAAAGTATCTGGTAGTCAGTAAATGGCAGTGATTATCATTACTAGCCATTACCAAGCTCTACATAAGTTTTTCAACAATTGTTGTTGTTGTTGTTGTTATGTGCCGTCGAGTCAGCCCTGACTCATAGCGACCCCTCCTTGGGTTTCCGAGGCAGTATCACTACGGAAGTAGGATTGCCCAACCTTCCTTCCGAGGAGTGCTTTCAATTATGTATATCAGAATCCCTGAAGGAAGGTTCCAACATGCAGATGCCTGAGCCTGCCTCCATTCTCACTGAATCTCCTAGGTTGGGGAGCAGGTGAGCTAACACAGAGGGTCGGATTGCCAAATCAGATTCAACAGGAATTACAGTAAACCAAGTTTACTAATGATCGAAGACATACAAACAACAGCAAAACATGGGCCAAGCATCCTCCCTTGGGGCGTTCTGAAACTGTCAGGCGCAGGCACCTGTAAACTAGCCTTCTCTTCCAGCCTCAGGATGCACATTGGTCCAGGCTGAACATGAAAGGTATAGGCAGTTAATGAAGTACATGCCTGAACAGAAGGAGCCATTTGGGTTATGGGCCATCTCCTTTTTATACACCATTAATTACAGAGCTTAGATGACATTTTCCAGCAAGCTGTGTCCCATAAATTCATAAACTCTAATTTTCTTTACAATGAGAAACCTGGACAGGCCTGATCCATCTTGCTGAAAGCATTCCATATGTAAGGATTCTCCAGCTGGTAGACATCATTATTGTATTTGTCAGGAGGTCAATCATGGATATGTTTACAAAGGGCCTGATGCTAACCTTCCCAACAGGTGCTGATGTTAGCCTTTCTTTCCCAAAAGGGAATACTAATGACAGCCTAAGGCACTTGACTGCTAACCAGAAGGCTGGCGGTTCAAACCCACCAGCCACTCCTCAGAATAAAGTTTGGGCAATCTACTTCTGTAGTGATACTGCCTCGGAAACCCAAGGAGGGGTCGCTATGAATCGGGTCCAACTCAAGGACACATAAAAACAACAACAGAGTCCCTGGGTGACACAAAGGTTACACACTTGGCTACTAACCTAAAGGGTCAAATCTACTCAGAGGCACCTCAGAAAAAAGGGCTGACAATTTACCTCTGCAAGATCACAGCCATTGAAATCCCTAGGGAGCACTGTTGGTCTCTGAAACGCGTTCCCTAGGGGGCACAGTTGGACCTGAAACGTGTGGAGTTGCCATGAGTCTGCATCGACTCGCGGGAACTGGTACAGGAGGAACCACTGTACTACACCTTTGCCAGGTCCAATTTAGCATTTGCAAATACATTTTAATAAAAGCCTTTTTGATCAAAGGAGAGTTTTAAGCTTTAAATAGCTTAAATTGGTCTCTCAAGAGCTTAGTTAGACCTTCACTAGGGTTATTGGCACTCTGTTTTACTTCATTTTATGAATGAGAAAATTGCAGCAGGAATTGTATTTTGTTTTTTGGACATAATCAAACAGCAAATGCAGTCTCCTGAGTGCCCACAACTCCGGACCGGCCGAGCTGTGCTTTGACATGGTGTGCGCTCCTTTCTGTGACGCGGCCGTGTGCTCTGCAGACGGTGAATCCAATCCATGTTTCCACAGGTTCTCCATCGACAGAAGCAGTGACCCCGGGAGGTTCTTCTATGTTGACATTACAACAGGGGCCCTAATGACGGCAAGACCCCTAGACCGGGAAGAATTTTCCTGGCATAACATCACTGTCCTTGCTGTGGAGATGAGTGAGTAACACACTACACTGGGCTCCCGTAGTGACAACATGTTGTTGAAAGTGAACGTGTCTAAAACTCATTGGGTCAACAATTTTATTCTTTAGTGGAGGAAGCTAGACACTTCTAAGAGTCAAAGGTGAGATTCCTGAGAAGTCCAAGAGGGATCAGTAAGCTTGGTAATGTAGTAGGAGGGCAACAGTCTTATGATTGGATGAAAGGAAATATCAATCACATGTCATCCTTATTATACACACCGATACACAGTCATACATGTCACCCTTATTATACACACATGTACACAGTCACACACAGAAGAATCTGAGACATCTTACAATAAAAGGCAGATTTATTAACACCATAAACTTATAAGTGGAGTGGAAAGTTAACAAAAACCTAATTAGATGTAGCCCAGATTTTTTCATTATACCTAATGATGTAAAGATACAGGAAATGGTAAATGAATAATTAGGCACAGCCATTCCAGAGAGCAATCTGGCAATACGTACTAACGTTCTCTAAAATATTTATATGCTTTTACCCAGTAATTCTGCTAGTAATTATTTTAAAGAAATAATCATAGTTATCAACAAAGATTTGTGTACCAAAATGTTCACTGCACTGTTATTTAAATATGGGGGAGGGAGGGGTGATGGAAATTACCTAGAAGTTCACTAATAGGAATTGATTAAGTAAGTATTATAACAGCTATGCTTTCAAAGTATATTCAATGACACAGAATAATCTTGCCCTAAGATACTAAGGTGCTAACTCCAACTTTTTATTTTGTTTTACTCTGCATGTGTGTGTGTGTGTGTGTGTGTGTCCACATTTTTCGGACACAGAGATAATGTTACATATACCATATAATGTTTACCTCTGGTGGTAGGATTATGGATCATACTTACTCCCTGTGTTTCTCTGGAATTTCCATTGTTCCTTCTGTGGACAAGCAAGGACCATTGTTATAACGAGAAAAAGCACTGTAATCATGTTGGCACATTCTGGTAACTAAATGATAGAAATATTTGGGGGGAAATGCAGGGGTGCGTACCTATTTTTTAGAAAGAAAAAAATGAAGTAGAAGGGCAAGGCATTTGGGGAACTAGTTAAATTCTTTACTAAAAACAATTTATATGTCTTGAAATTTCTCTTTTGCCTTCCGGAATTGGTGACCAGACCAGAAAAAGACTTAAGAGGGACACCTACTGTGGCTGTGAAACTGTCTTCACGTGGCAGAGCCAAGCAAAAGACCCCTACCAAAAGGACACATTCCCCTGAGTAACTAGGAGTAACTTCTGCCCTGGCCAAAGATAGGGAGTTGGTTGTCTGTTGGATGCTGTAATAAGCCCTTGGTCCCTAAGCAGAGATAGTGCATGGTGTTGCCTATATTGCAGTGACTAACTTATGTGTAGAAATAGAATTATTTGTATATGATATAGAGATTTCAAAGAAGACCTGATTCTTTCCCCTCAGTAAAGCCAGGCAGTGCCACAAGGTATATGCATGTGATTACAAATGGGCTGTTTTAAAGCCCAGAATACAGCCTTTCATTCTACAACCTGAATTATCAGCCAAGTGGGAGGTTCAAAATCTCTTTTTCAGATTCAGTTTGTGACACTTGCCCCTCCTCAAGTCTCACCCTTGCCCTCACCTTCCTGATATCCAGGCACTGTCCAACACAGCCTCTTTGCTAACCAAGCCTCTTACATTCAGGTCTCGCTCTGGACGGGCAACCCCACGCATTCTCTGCCGGGTTCTGTTTCTAGGCACCTCAGCCATTCTTTGAAAGACAAGCAGGCTCCCGGGTGAAAATGCCTACTTCCTGCAAAGCTGCTCGGCCTGCCTGCCTGCGGCCTCACCCTGCTCTGCCTGTGCTCTCTTTAGACAACCCCTCCCAGGTCGGAAGTGTTGCTGTCACCATCAGAGTCTTAGACGTGAATGACAACGCTCCAGAGTTCCCCAGATTCTATGAAGCTTTCGTCTGTGAAAATGCCAAAGCAGGGCAGGTAAGGCACCGGTGAGGTGGGCACCTTGTTAACACCAACGTGCATACGGAAACAGGCGCTACAGACAGCCCATTGGCCGACGGAGAAACTTGAACCCAAATTCCGTGCCTCACGTGGCAATGGTTTATTTGTTAAGAAACTGTCAGGCTGCTTGGTTCACAGGCTATCCCCCTTGCTTCTGGCAACAAGTGCCTTGTTGAGGGACTGCCTGCCTTATGCTCAGAATGGTCAGTTACCTAAAATTACCCACCTTTTCTCTCCCTCTCATTAAAACACCCATTTTCTCAGTGCTGCTCATGTGAGGTAATTTTTTTTTTTAATTGTGATTTGGGTGAAAATTTACAGAGCAAATACACTTTCCATACAGCTGTTCACATACACTTTGTCTCATGACATTGACCACAATTTACCACAATGCAACATCTCCCCTCCTACTTCCTCCCGATAGTTACCTCTTCCCTGTGTCCATCCCTTCATGCACTCCTGCCCCCTGACCTGTCTCCCTGTGCATAAGCAGCCCTTCTTTCTCCCATGCTTTTTCTCTCCAAGGAGTGTATCTAGCTCAGGTAAATGTTCAACTCATATGCCTGTCTATTATTTGGCTGGAAGCTACAGGTGTGGGTTCAATTCCAGACCTGAAGGGCAGCTAGGGGCCATAGTCTCAGTGGTTCCACCAGGCTCTGCTGGACCAAAAAACCTGGTCCCCCCTTTTTTTTTATCCAAATGATTTTGAGTTTTGTTCCACATTGTTCTCCCTGTCTATCCAGGATCTCCTCCATATATCTTCTTTCAAGTGGTTGACAGTAGTAGCCGGGCACCATCTAGTTCTTCTGGTCTTATAGTCACGTAGGCTACAGATCAGATGGTGTACCAGTCGCTAGGACTAATTGTTTCCATGAATTTTTGGTTTTCTTCATTCTTCTTTGCTCTGGACGAGGAGGGACCCATCATTGCATCTAGATGGCAGCTTTTAAGATCCCAGTTGCTACTCACCACAGTAGGAGGTGGAACAATGTTTTGTGTAGTATGTTATGCTAATTGAGCTTAATGTCGAGGTAACGTTTAAAAGAAAATTAGCCTGAAGGAACAAATTCCTACTTATTGGAAATAACTTTAGTCCCATAATCTCCACAGTCATATTTGTATACTTTTTAAAAGTATGTGTTACAGATTGAAAAGTGTCCCCCAAAAATGTGTGTTGTGAATCCTAACCCCTATACCTGTGGATATAATCCATTTGGGAATGAGGGTTCTTGTTATGTTAATGAGGCAGGATGAGTTCCAGGTGTGTCTCATATCAATCTCTCTGAGATATAAAAGAGCAGACTGAGCAAGTCAAGAGGACCACAGATGGGGGAGGGGGCGGTGGTGGATGCCATGCCACTTGAGATCTTCAAGGAACCAAGGAAGAAAAGCTGAGAAGAGACAAGCGTCCCCCACCCCCACCCCAGAGCTTGCAGAGAGAGAGAGAGAGAGCGAGAGCCTTCTTAGAAGCAGAGCCTTGAATTGGACTTCGAGCCTCTGAAGCTGTGAGAAAACACAGTTGGTTGTTAAAGCCCCCCACCTGTGGTATTTCTGTTACAGCAGCACTAGACAATTAAGACAGTGTCCCTTTAAACTTAAACGAAGAGCGGGCTGCTGAAGCTCCGAGTGGCATCACTGAGAAGCGTCCAGTCACCATGTGGTGACGTGTTTCCGGCTGTTGCCGGGTGCATCATGTCTCCTTCCACACCTCAGGCCGCAGGGTGATCCCCACTCTGCTCCTGCTGCTGTCAGGCACTTACCTGCTCTGTTTATGACTCAACTCACTTCCGCCACAGTCCAGCCCACAGTCCTGGGGATTCTGACGGTGCTGCAACGGTCGGGAGTGTTTTAACATGCAAGGATCCTCTCTAGTTACGGGATTGTGAAGTACAGAGTTACAAGGCGAGGGCTCAGGACCACGACCTTCCAACCCAAGTGTGGCTTTTGCTTTCCATCTCTCATGCACCCAGAGTATCATCTCCAGCATCTTGCTACACAGAGAGACTACGTTTGCATAACCACAATTACATCCGCTTCCTGAATGCAAAGCATAGTGCCTCAACACACTTGCCCATTCCATCCAGCCTATGCAGTCCTGCACAATCCAGTCCTGCACAAGAGGAAAGGGTTCCTACAGTGGTTCTGAACTCAACTTCTTGCATTCATCAGTCCTTGAATCCATGGTCTATGGTATGCCTACAATTTATTTTCCACAAGTCTAGGAATGTTCTACCTCCACATCTATTGAATTTCTAGTCTAGAAAGACTGGAAATATTATGTAGCTAATAAAAATTATAGTGAAGACTTTATAGCATGAGCAATGGTCCATGTTATTATAAGATGTAAAGAAAGGAAGTGTAAACACTGCATGCATATGTTTGCTGTTTTGTAAGAGGAGGTTTGTGTGTGGACGAAGATTGGGAGGGAAGGAGCAAAAATAGCACTATTACTGTGATGAGGGAGCCCTGGTGGAATATTGCCTAAGGCATTTGACAGCTAACCAGAAGGCTGGCGGTTCAAACCCACCAGCCACTCCTCAGAAGGAAGATTGGGAAATCTACTTCCATAGAGATACTGCCTCGGAAACCCAAAGGGGGTCTCTATGAGTCAGAATCTACTCGATGGGAGTGAGTTTGGTTTGAAAGTAGTATAGCAAATTAAAGTATTCCCACCCGCCCCCTTCAAAATGAAGCACTCCAGGGCTTCAGAAGAGGAGGCCGTTGCCTGCTGAGAGACTGTCAGCACGTTAATGGCCTCTCGTTTTGGGAGTCACACATACGTACCCGCCATTCCTCAATCCATCCTCTAATGGTCTATTCTACAGTTCTTTGAAGCACAGCTTATCTATGACTCAAAGTCGAGTTCGGGACATGAGCCACAAATCCATCACATTTGTCATCTTTAGTCCAAGAGACTAAAAAGCCTACCTTTAGGTTTTGGCTCTGGGAAATGTCTCTGTGATTTTTCCAAAGCACTCAGCTGAGTCAGTACGGCTAGTTTATAAATGAGGCTTCCTTGGGGTCACGTGTCAGCCACCGCCATCAGCTTTGATCTGCCCAAGTCAGGGAGTACAGTGGTTTGCTGTTAGCAGGCAGCCACACAGAAAACCTGTGAGGAAATGAGACAGCACACTTGGTGGCGACGAGGGCAGGATGGCCCTGCTGAGCAGGACAGTGTGCGGCCAGCAGGCCGAGGAGGAAATCTGCCCCACTGGGGCCCGGGCCGTGGCGCTTCTGACCCAGCCAGCTGGGCGCCTTTGCCCATTCATCCTTTAAAGACTTGAAACCAACCAGCCACTCCCCACAGCCCTCATCTCACCCAATCACAGACAATTCACAGGTCAGACGTTCTGAAGTGACTGTCCCAACTTGGTTTGCCAACTGTGCATCAAGATATGTGTTTTCTTTCTACAATGCTCGGTGCCAACAAGGAAGGAGAAAATGCATCGGATCTGTCCCTAACCCAGTGGTGGCACAGGAGGTGAAGTTGGTGTGAACCACGCTGACAACACACTGCACTGTGGAGGTCATCTTCCATGCCCTCCTGACCCATCTTCTTTATTGCATCTCCGCTCCCTCTACCCTTAGATCTGTCTGACAGGCCTATTGCCAGTTCCCCAGGAGGCAGAGCCTGAAATGAAGTTTTACCTGCAGGGCCAACACCTGTGGAAGGGAAGGAAGCAGAACTATGTAGCACGAGTCCAGCTGCAACACAGACTGGTGGCATCACTAGGGGAGTGCAGGGAATGTGGACTCAAAGGGACTGACACCAAAATGACCACAGGGTCCATGGCTGCAGCAGCAACAGTGGGATGACCAGTACCACAGGATGAGGAGCCACCAAGGCAGTGACACCTATAGAGTTGGTATCACCTGTCACCCAGCACAGTAACTCACCACCACCTTCCTTCCCAACCCCATCAGCTGCCAATCAGGGTGCACACAGGGGGCCATGGTGCCTGCCATTGGGCAGAGAAGAGGGTCTCTGCCTTGGCCAATGGGAGAGGGGAAGCACTCAGAGAGTGGTCAGGGTGGGGCCCCCAGGTAAGGAACCAGGCTGTTCCATCTATAGGAAGGGGGTGGGTGTCACCAGTCAGCCCCACCCACGAGGAGCAGGTGACACCAACCGTAGTGATACCACTGTACAACAGCCCCAACCGACCTCATACAGAGTTCTACAACCAGTGTTTTCCAGAGCTGAGATGGGATGGCCTGGTTTCTAAGCTACGGCATCAATTAGTCACTGGATGTAGTGACCTTGGGGAAGGTAGCTCTCTGCAACTGAGGGGGTCCCAAAAGGGACTGACAGTTGAAGGCTGTATCCAACAGAAGACCCTTTTCTGGGAGCTTCCACCTCTGTCATTTAATCTTCTGCACAATGTCCAGGTCTCATTATCTCCCTAATATACAGATGAAGACATAAAGACTAAGCAAACTCATCTAGGGCCTCAAGTTAACTGCTAATGTTCCTGGTTGGCAGAAGCACAACCAGGCATTAACAGCAGGAGGGTCAGGTCTATAGAGCCAGGCCCAAGAAGAGTGGTGTAGTCTGTGCTACTGGTAGGTAGAGGAGCAAACACATAGGAAGGAGACGACCTGCTCCATGCCTTTTCTCTACCTCCCAGTCTCTGCTAAGGTTTCCAGGGACTGTTTCACACTACTTTCTGTAATAGCCCTTTCATCACCATCTCCACGCATCATGGTAACTTACCATTTTTAAAAGTTTTGTGGGGAAGGCAAAACATTGGCCAAAGGCCTCCAAAGGAAACCAGTCCATTTTTGCTCCTCCCCCTCTTCAGCTTGGCTCTGACTGTAGCCTGTTCTTGTGCCCAGATCTTTTCTGGCTTACCCTCCTGCCAGCAAAATGTGTCTGCCCTGTGGCCCATGTCCTCGGGTCTATTTTCCCTTCATCTGACACTGCCAGTGCCCAAGTGTCCCCTTACCTCCCTCCTTGGTACTGGTTACCTCTAAACAGGGGCCTCCCAGAGATAGCAATTTATCCCTGAAAAATTAACCCAAATGATGAAGTTAAGTTGGTGATATGAGAGAATGAAAAGTCAGGGACAAGCAGGACCTTGTGGCACTCCATATCCTTTTCCTACAATCTTTGGTAGGTGGCTTTCATGTGCAAATACAAGTCACTCAGTGCAGTAACTCATTCCCACCTTCCTCCGCACCCAATCACCTGCCAGTCAGGGTGCAGATAGATAGAGGGCCATGGTGCCTGCCATTGGGCAGAGGAGGGTTGTCTAATATCGGAGGTATTTAGGTAAAATTCACCATGTACCTATTAAGGTCCTCAAGGAGCTCTGGTAGTACAGTGGTTAAGTGCTCAGCTGTTAAAGGTCAGTGATTCAAACCCACCACTGTGCTTCTGTAAGCATTTATAGCCTTGGAAACCCTGTGGGGCAGTTTTGCTATGTTCTAGAGGGTCGCTATGAATCAGAATTGACTCAACTGCAAAGAGTCTGCTATTAAAGTCCTCAGGTTGAATAATAAACCAAAATTAAATTCTAAACAGTATGATGGCATGGGGACTTCTCAGGGGGAAAAAAATCTACTGTTGAATTTCCAGGTTTGGGATTTCACTGGGTTCTGAGCTTTATCCTTAGGCACCAGCTCACCTGATGCCATTTTCCCTCCCTCAGTTGATCCAGACAGTGAGTGCTGTGGACCAAGACGAACCAAGCAATGGCCAGCACTTCTACTACAGCCTGACTCCAGAGGCTGCTAACAACCCCAATTTCACTGTGAGGGACAATCAAGGTAAGCAGATGGATAGTTGGCTTTCTCTGCATTTCTATAGCTTGGACTGTATGTTGTGGTCATGGTACTATGTAATAATCAGAACATGGAATGTACAGAGTATGAATCTAGGAAAACTGGGAGTCATCAAAAATGAAATGGAGCACATAAAGATTGATATCCTAAGCATCATTGACCTTGATTATCATTGAGCAAGTTATCAGCTTCTCCAGGAATTGATGGAATGCCAGTCATTGGCCAGTTTGACTTAGATGTTTGTCTGATACCAAAAAAAATATATATATATATATGGTTTACTATGCCAAGAATGACGATTTGAAGAGGAATGGTGTCACATTCATTGTCAAAAAGAACATTTCAAGATTGATCCTAAAGTACAACACTGTCAGTGATAGGATAATATCTACATGCCCATAAGAAAGACCAGCTAAAACAACTAGTATTCAAATTTACACATCAACCACTAATGCCAAAGATGAAGAAAGTGAATTCAAAGGGAAGCTCAAGAAGACAAAGTTAAGTATTGTAGAAGCATCAAAAGAAGATGGAAAGAATACTCAGAGTCACTTTAGCAAAAAGAACTGGTTGATGTTCAACCATTTCTGGAAGCAACATATGATCAGGAACCGATGGTACTGAAGAAAGAAGTCTAAGCTGCACTGAAGGCACTGGTAAAAAACAAGCCTCCAGTAATTGATGGAATATCAATTGAGATGTTTCAGCAAACAGATGAAACACCAGAAGTGCTCACTCACCTATTAGTTACCTGGCCAACTGTCTGGAGGAGATTCGTATTTGTGCCCATTCAAAAGAAAGGTGATACAATTAAAAAAAAAAAAAAAAAAAAAAGAGCTCTGATGGTGTATAGAATGCAGAAATTATTGAACAATATCACTGATATCACACACAAGTAAAATTTTGCTTAAGATAATTCAAAAACAGTTGTGGCAATACATTGATAGGGTACTGTCAGAAATTCCAGCTGAAGTCAGAAGAGGATGTGGAATGAGGGATATCATTGCTGATGTCAGTTGGATCTTGGCTGAAAGCAGAGACTACCTGTGTTTTATTGACTATGAAAAGGTATTCAACTGTGTGGATCATAACAAATTATGGGTAACATTGCAAAGAATAGGAATTTCAGAACATTTCATTGTGCTCATGAGGAAACTGTTCATAGACCAAGAAAGAGGCTGTCATTTGAACAGAATAAGGGGTTACTGTATGTAGTTTAAAATCAGGAAAGGTATGCATCAACTTTGTATTCACTCACCATATTCATTCAATCTGTAGTCTGAGAAAATAATCTGAGAAGCTGGACTATATGAAGAAGAATGTGACTTCAGGATTGGCGGAAGACTCATTAACAACCTGAAATATGCAAATGACACAACCTTGCTTGCTGAAAGTGAAAAGGACTTGAAGCACTTATTGATGAAGATCTAAGGCTACAGCTTTCAATATGGATTACATTTTATCTGAAGAAAACAAAAATCCTTACAATTGGACCAATAACCAACATCATAATAAATGGAGAAAAAGTTGAAGTTGTCAAGGATTTCATTTTACTTGGCTCCGCAATTGATGCATGTGGAAGCAAGAGTCAAGAAATCAAATGATTTTTGTATTGTATTGCACTGGGTAAATCTGCTATAAAAGATGTCTTTAAAGTGTTAAAAAGCAAAGATGTCTCTTCGAAGGTGCACCTGACCCAAACCAGGTATTTTCAGTTGCCTCATATGCAGGCAAAAGGGTAATGAATAAGGAAGAAAGGATGGCTTTGAGTTATGGTGCTGGCAGAGAATATGAAACATACCATGGTATATTGCCATGGTACATTTGCCAGAAGAGCAAACAAATTGTTCTCGAAAGAGTACAGCTAGATGCTCCTTAGAAGAGAGAATGGCGAGACTTCATCTCACGTCCTTTGGGCAAGTTCTCAGGAGGTGCCAGTCCCTGGAGAAGGACATCATGCCTGGCAAAGCAGAGGGTCAGCGAAAAAAGAGGAAGACCCTCAATGACACAGATTGACACAGTGGCTGCAACAATGGGCTCAAGCATTGCAATGGCTGTGAGGATAGTGCGGGACCAGGCTATGCTTCATTCTGTTGTATATAGGATTGCTATGAGTTGGAACCAGGTAGTCAGCACCTAATAACAGTAACCACGTGTAAATATGCTCCTTAAACACAAGCTCAAGATCACTGCCGTCGAGTCGGACCCGACTCATAGCGACCCCTCCTTGGGTTTCCGAGGCAGTATCACTACGGAAGTAAATTGCCCAACCTTCCTTCCGAGGAGCGACTGGTGGGTTTGATCCACCAGCCTTCTGGTTAGCAATCAAATGCCTTAGGCACTATGCCACCAGAGCTCCCAACCAGAGGACATTAATGCTAGGTCAGTGTTTTGTTTTAGAACATCAAAGGCAAGACTGCCCTCTGCTGAGTCTCTGACTTCCTCAGGCAGACAGTCAGCTGACACACATTTGCTGAGTTCTGCATGCTTTGTGCAGGACACTGTGTGAAGCCCCAGAGGCAAAACCCTCCCTTCATTCTCACGGTGAGTGGCCATGTTTCGATGTTCTGTGACTAAGAGAAGAATCTGAGAAAGGTTTCCCCTAGGACATGGCCTAGGGGAAAACCTAAAGGAACATTCCTAAGCAAGAAGACAAAGGAAAAAGGTTTTTTTCCTTTTTTGTGGGGGGGTGGGGGACTCTCAGAACAACAAGGAGACCCAGGATAAGTGCTAGAGTAGAAACCTGTTGGCATCGAGTCGATTCTGACTCATAGTGCCCCTACAGGACAGAGTAGTACTGCTGGATAGGGTTTCCAAGGTTAAATCCTTACAGAAGCAGACTGCCACATCTGCAGCTGGAGGGTTCAAAACACTGACCTTACGGTTAGCAGCCAAGAACTTAACCACAGTGCCACCCGGGATCCTCAGTACTACGGCTACCAAAGGGCAAATAGACCAGTGTCAGCGTTGAATGCACTTCATTCCTTTAGAATGATTTAGAAAGACAAACCCATGGGGAAGTCCCTCTTTGAGAAAGTGCTCCCCATTGCAGCTTTCCTGGAAGAGATTTCTAGATCCCTCTCCTCCAATCTGCATTGAGATCCATGCTAAGGGACTTATACACCTCTCTGGCTCCTTTATAGTTTTGGTGGCATATTGCCTAAGGCATCTGACTGCTAACCAGAAGGCTGGCTGTTCAAACCCACCAACCCCGCCTCAGAAGGAAGGTTGAGCAATCTACTTCCGTAGTGATACTGCCTTGGAAACCCAAGGAGGGGTCACTATGAGTCGGATCCGACTCGATGGCAGTGTGTTGTGTTGTATTGTGTTGTTAGCTCTTTTGTGGCACAGATGAGGAAAGGGGTAACTTTTGTTCTCTAGCTAGATGATTTGCTTCAAAGAAAGGTCAGAGCAACTGAAAAAAGGCATTTAGATCTGTCAGACAGTCCCTACTGCTGCTAATTCTGCCACTAGCTAGTTGGCTGACCTTGGGGAGGTCACTCTTTCTCTGGGCTGCCTTCGCCTCATGTTCATTCCAGTTTTGAAATGTTCATTGTCGTTTTATAACAAGCTAAACAAAGGGTAACTAAATGTCGTGAGGAGGCATCTGACTCTCCAACATCAGATAGCTGACACTTTTTGAGCATTTCAAAAGCCATCCAACCTACAGCATTTTCTTCTATAAAACTTGAGGATTCAAAGCTGTTTTCTTCTACATGGGGTGTCTCTGTCCACATCTTCCAGATAGATGACCACGAAATCACTGAGGATGCTGCAAGGCAGGGCATTGGAAATGATGGCAGAAACCCCACAATTAAGCAGCCTGAGGTTTTCACCAGGTCAAAACGTTGAACTGCTCCTCATCTCCCTGCTTCGCCAGGAAGCCCTTCCTGCAGAAAGTGGCTTCAGCCTCCTCAGGGTTAGATTTCCAAAGGAAACTGGGGAGGGAAGGGAGGGGGGGCCTGGAATTAACATACATGTATTCAGATTTTCAGCGAACTGTCACTCACCGCTAGGAGCTCTGGTGGCATAGAGCCTAAGGCATTTGACTGCTAACCAGAAGGCTGGTGGTTCAAAGCCACCAGGCACTCCTTGAAAGGAAGACTGGGCAATCTACTTCAGTAGAGATACTGCCTCAGAAACTCAAGGAGGGGTCACTATGAGTCGGGACCGACTTGACGGCAGTGAGTTTGGTTTGGTTTTGTCACTCGCTGCTTTCACTCAGATAGTTGTCAGAATCAACACGAAAACAAGGTGCTGTGAATTTCTTAAAGGTGATTTCGGGCTCCCTTCACGGACCCAAAACCTTGGACCTCTGGAGCAGGACCATAAGAAGCATTGGCTCACCCTTGCAGAGTTTCCTAAAGCTCAAGGCAGCACATCTCCAAGAAGATGGCACAACTAGCCTTCTCACAGCAATGTACTCCACGGGACCCTTCACTAAGACACATTCTACAAATGGCAACTGACCAGCACCTCTGATATGGTGGATTCACTGTCGAGACCCATTCCCATGCCTGAAACATGAGGTGCTTTTACGGACACAGCAGGGCTAGCTCAAGAAAAGCCTTTTTCTTTCTCTCTAAAGCATTAAAAGGATTGTGTCCATGTACCACTTCAGTTTCAAAAGCAATTTCCCTTCCTTCGTCTTACATACTCACAATAGGTGGTCATTGATGAGGTCTGCTTAGGTTAGGCTCTGGGAATATTTTTTTAAATTCTAGACTCTTGGGAAATGTGGAACACATCCAGAGAGCCTTCTGTGTTGACATTGACTTGGTCACTGCTCGTCTGTCCTGCTCCATCCGCCAAACTTTCCCTCTGCTTAGTATGAGTTGAGCTGTACAAAAATAGGTCTACATTAGAACTCAAACCCACTCAAGGACACGTGAAAACATAGATTAAAATAATAATAAACATTTTAAAATTCCAGAACATAATATTACAAAAAAAAAAACCTCACTGCCATTGAGTCAATTCCAACTCATAGTGACCACCATTGGGTTTCCAAGGCTGTACATCTTTATGGAAGCAGACCGCCTTATCTTAAATACGTACATACACCAACACACACATCTTCATTATAGAAATGCATCCGATAATTTCTTTAATCTCTTTTACAAGTGGAGAAAAAACTAGTATTCCTGATCAAGGACGGTTTCAACAAGCTCATATTTGCTTCACCTCAGACCACCGAGTGGGGGAAGTAAAGGATGTGGCGTGTGGCGGGGGGATTTCAATGACACGTGGACTGACGGAGCATGCTCTCCCACAGCACAGACGGCTGGGGGCTGCATCTCAAGGGAGATGTGAACCCCAGCCAGAGGGAAAAGGAGCCCAGCAATCTGCCATCCACCACGCGGGCTCCTGGCTCCTTCCACCAGGTGCAAAGCAGCCCCAGGGCCTTGGGAAGCAACTGAGCAGGAGCCAACAGGGCCCACAAGTCACAGGAGGTTACTCATTTGTCAAGCTTTCCCGGGGACATTTTAGTTAGATCTGAAGTCTGACAGTTTGCCCTGGGCACTTTATGTCACAAAGGGTAAGACAAACTTGCAAAGAAAGGGTTTCTGTCCTAGGCCTCAGGGTTTTGTCTAGAAACAAGCAACAGTCTCGGTCTCAGAATCCAAATGCTGATCCAGGCAAAACCTGACACGGCTGAAGCCCAGCCCCTCCAGGGACGGTCCCACTAGCCCCCTCTCCTCCCAACCCGCCCCTCCCGCCCTTGCTTTCCTCGATCCAAGAAGTTAATGCCGCTGCTGGTTCTTCCGTTGTCCTGGTCCCTCTCATACTTCTTCTTCCCTCTTTCATCCCCGGACCCCTCACCTCCTCAGATAACACTGCCCGGATTCTAACCAGGAGGTCTGGCTTCCGGCAGCAGGAGCAGAGCGTCTTCCACCTGCCTATCCTGATAGCGGACAACGGGCAGCCGGCGCTGAGCAGCACCGGCACGCTCACCGTCCAGGTGTGCAGCTGTGACGACGACGGCCACGTCATGTCCTGCAGCCCCGAGGCCTACATGCTCCCGGTCAGGCTGAGCCGCGGCGCCCTCATCGCCATCCTGGCCTGCATCTTTGTCCTACTGGGTGAGTCCGTAGCTCCCTTCCTGTCCTGGGTCCTGCCAGTGCTTACTTAGACCTCAGTGAGTGGAGAACTGGGGCTGGCCCTCATGCTGTGCTACTGACAGGTGTGCAGCAGGGCTGGGGAAAAGCAAATAAACAGGAAACACTCCCTCGGTTCAGGGTTCAGGGAACCTCGGGCCTCTTTGGCAAGATCAGTGTGCACATAGTTAGCAAGCACCTGCTACATGCTGGGCCACTGTGCTGGCCGCTGGGATTAACGAGACAGGCACGTCCCAGCCTTCTCAGAATTGCCTTCAGAGCAAAGTAAGTTCGTCTGGACATGATAGAGCCAAAAGACACCTTGGAACAGGATGTGATGACCACCTTTTCTAGCCCCTTCGTTTCCATAAGTAGCGAAACACAAAGAGGCCAGTGACAGACCCCTCAAGTCGAGCCGGGCTGACACACAGGCAGCCCCTACATCATGCCCCTATGACCCACCCTGGGTCTGGCAACACTGCCATGCTCCTAACTGCCCATCCCCAGGTTCTAGAATCTACGGCACTGACCAGGACAGCAGCAGGAGTTCCACTCTGAGCAACTCTACCTGTCCCGTGGCACACTGCCCAAACATAGTGACCCTCTCACCTCTCACCTGTCAGAACAGGAGAGGGGTGCTGCCTCCTCACTTCCAAGACCTTGCAAATGTCATCACAGGCGGAAAAAGGCACTATTGCCGAAGGAGTAAGACCTGCTTGCACTTAGGTTTAAGAGCAGAAGGCATGCTCTGCCCCAGGGCTATACGGATGTGGAAAAGGGGCAGGGTGTCCTGGGGGAGCGGCAGGGAGTTTGGATAGGCACCCTTTTAAATAGGGTGCTCAGAGAAGAATTTCCTGGTAAAGAGGCCTTTGAGCAGAGATTGGAAGGAGATGATGGACTGAACACAGGGATTTCTGGGAGAATAAGCTGGCGGTTCAAACCCACCAGCTGTTCCTCGAAAGGAAGGTTGGGCAATCTACTTCCGTAGTGATACCACCTCGGAAACCCAAGGAGGGGTCTCTGTAAGTTGGATTCGACTCCATGGCAGTGCATTGCATTGCATTGCAAGCTGTCTGGGAGCGTAGACACCCCTCCCAAGCACTGTGACCATCTAATAAGGAGCAGTGACTAAACAGAGCCCAAACTGCTTCTGCTGGTGAACTCAAAAGAGGTTATCAGGAAAGCACCACTGGGCCAGGGGATCCTTCCTTCCCCATGTCAAGTCACACTGTGAGACAGCCACCCAGCTCCCTTGGGCTAGGATCGTTTGGGCAATAGTGTGCTAACTCCATACCCCTCACCAAAAAAAACAAAAACAAACACCTAAACCAATTCTTGCAACCAAGAAAATATCTGTACATAGATTCCAACTCTTCTGATTGGATTTATCCACAGCATATCTATATTGCTTAGAAAAAAAGGACTCTTAGTACATCATACGTAATATCATTCGATCTATTCAAATCCTAACTTCCTATGGTGGACAACAGTTAAAAAAAAAATGTAGATATCCATGTGCCATCCTTGGTCCCATGTTCACCTCTACCCCAGGGGACTGAGTCAACCAAAGAGAGAAGTTTCTAAGGGGGCCAAATGCCAGCATGGGGAAGAATTTTTTTTTTTTTTTTTGTAGTGTTTCCTCCCCTCCTCTCCTTTCTCTGTTAAAGGGAAGAATTTCTAAGAAGACTTGTAAAATACGCTTCTTAAAAAAAAAAAAAAAAACCTTTAAAATATGAGATGTGGCTTCATTTTGTTGCTTTACTTCAGTTCTCCATGAAGGAGGAAGTGGTATAAATAATTAACTTTGCCACTCCTCGGAAGGAAGGTTGGGCAATCCTACTTCCGTAGTGATACTGCCTCGGAAACCCAAGGAGGGGTCGCTATGAGTCGGGGCCCACTCGACGGCACATAACAACAACAACAACAGGTCCTTGGAACCCTGATATCAGAACAAGTTGTTAGAAGTGCCCTATCCCTGTCGGTGTTGACCAAGAAAACCTTCCTGCAATTCCAGAAGTGTCCATAAGGTGGCACTGGGAGCCCTTGAGTGCAGAACAGTACACCCTGCAAAGGTCTTTTTAAAAACAACAGGCTCCTAGAATTTTCCAGATTGGCTGCCTTTCCTTCTGTCTTTGCAAAACGCCTGTGTTTTAAGTTCAGCCTGGCCCACGAAGAGCAGAAGCCGTGTTACAGAAAGACTGCTTTAAGGAGCCTAGCATGGAGGACACTCACATGATGCAGTGTGCCGGGGACAATTATTTCATCACTCCGGAGCCCATTAGGCCTTATCTTGTGAATTGTACCAAGTGCATAAACCATTTTCAGGAGCTAAATTGAGCAGAGGTGTTGTAAAATCCTAATTCAAGCACCTGTATTTTTAGGCCCCACCCACAAGTTAGCAGGGCTGTTAGAATGCATGCCCCTCCCATAGAAAATACAATTCATAAAGCTAAGCAAGGTTTGGATGCAGCTCTTAACAAAATACTACATATTGTGGACAATTAAATGCTTTGTAATTCTGACTTTGCAGGGCTTTGTTCAGGTCTCAAACATGCATCTACTTTGTAAAGTATCTCATACCCCAGGCAGTGTGCCTATGGTACTTAAAACACAAATTCCCATAGAATTGATTCCCATCTGCCCCTGAAATCTTTCTTTCAGCTGAACAGTACCATTTTTTTCCCAAAAATCTGATTGTCAGGCAATTATGTACTACTTTCTATTTGAATCAAATTAAGACATCTAACAATCTTTGTTTTTCAAAAGATGGACAACTTCTATAAACTCCATCACATCAGAATTATCTCCAGCAGGTACTCAAAAACTTTTCTAATTTTGCTTCCCAGCATTTTCAAAATTATTACCCCATGTTGTTGTTGTTGTTGTTGTTGTTGTTATGTGCCGTTGAGTTGGGCCTGACTCATAGTGACCCATCCTTGCGTTTCCGAGGCAGTATCACTACAGAAGTAGATTGCCCAACTTTCCCAGTCGCAACTACATTTCTGTGAAGACTTTCCTAGCCCACCAGGCAGAATTTAAAAAAAACCACTTTATTTTGGTTTAGGTGAAAGCACACAGCACAAATTGGTTTTCCATCCAACACTTCATACACAATTTGTTTTGCGACATTGATGGCAATCTCTACAATGCAACAGCATACTTACCCCTTCCTCTCTGTGTACCATTTTCATTGCTCCTTCTTTCCTATCCATTCCTGCCTTCTGAGTGTCATCCCTGGGCAAATGCTGCCCTTTGATCTTGCATGACTGTTGTTCTAGGGAGTGCCTACCTGCCTGGTGTTATTGTTCACTTTATAGTTTTTTTATATAGTTAGAGTTCACTTTATTGTTTGCCTGAAAATTGAGCCACAAGGGTGGAGTTCAGTTCCAGACCTCAAGGGTGGGAACAGCCATAGCTTCAGAGGTTCCACCAGTCTCTATCTCGCCAATACGGCTGGTCTTTCTTATGATTTTAAATTTTGTTCCACCTTTTTCTCCCACACTTTCCAGGACCTTCTGTTGTGACCCCTTTCAGAGAAGTTGGTTGTGGTAGCCAGGAACCACCTAGTTGTGGTCTCAGGGTCGTAGAGGCTGAGATTCATGTGATCTTTTGAACTCATTGAGTCCGTGTGTCTTTGATTTTCTTCATTCTTCTTTGCTCTGGACAAGGAGAGACAAATAGTTAGTTGCACCTTCGCTGGCTTCTCAGAAGCTTTAAAACCACACACACTGCTCACCAAACAGGAACTAGCACACTGTCTTTGTGGACTGGTTTATGCCACTGACTATGGTCCTGAGCTCCCAGTCGCAGCAACTCATTGCTTATGTGGGTATGGCCAAGAAGTTCTCATAACTTTGTCCCTTGCATGCCCTACCATATTCACATGCTGCAAATATACCCATGAATACAGTAGACCACACAGGGGACAGAGTTGTGAAGACTTCTTGGCCAGAACAAAACACCTTGAGGAAAGGAGCCACTGGATCTAGGGGCTCAGAACCATAGTCTCAGGGGACATCAAGGTCAGTTAGTATAACATAGTCCACAAATACAATGTTCTATATCCTACTTTGCTAAGTAGTAACTGGGGCCTTAAAAGCTTATGAGTGGGAGTTCCGGCAAGATGGTGGACTAGACAGAAAGACTGCACAGGTCCTCTTCAACAAAGAAAAGGGAAACCAATTAACACAGACACAGAAGATAATCCTGCACCCCTGAACCTTGAGGGAAAGGATATAGAAGTGGACTAAACCCCAACTAGCAGAAGACTTTGTGTGAAAATACCAAAAAAGGAGACATACGGAGCTGCGGTCTGGCAGTGATCCTGAGTGATCCTGATGGCACAGACAGCTT